CAAAAAATTTCTACATGTGACACGGCACCAGAGTGAAGTTAGGGTTTTTCAAAATGCTGACCCGCCGAGCTCAGAAGGTTCGCCGTCACTGGCCTAGATGTTGGGTGTGAATAAGATAGTCAAGGCCCCGCCCGCCTGGGCCTCGGGGTCTAGGAGAAAACAGCCATCAGTGAGGAAACAAAGAAAAGACAACGTTTGAGTGCAGTACCTGCAGTGAAGCCGGTGAAGGGATGTAAGCAAGAGAGAAGCCGGAGGAACTGCTGGGGGCCCTGAGGGAGCCTGTGAGCTGGCGGGACTTCCCTGTCTGTCCTGGAGAGAACGCCCGCCCCGTCCAGAGCCAGGTGAGCCTGGCCAGGGTGGCTCAGCAGAGCACCCGCCCCTGCACCGAAGGGTCTCGCCCGCTGAGGTGAGATGGGAAACGACGTTGAACGAGAGACCGGAGCCTGACTTGGGCCCAGCCCTCATCCTGGTCCCAGCTTTTCCTCCTCTCCCCGGGAGGTGGGGCTCCTCATGAGCTACCCGGAGCTCCGGCTTCCACGCTTAGGGTGTCAGCGCGACTCAGCCAGGCCCCGCGCTGTTCCCGGATGCCCCGCCCTCGCCCTCCTTCCCCGTCGTGTGCCCCACGATCTCCCAGTTTATTAGTCACCAGAGGCCTGGTGCACAAAAATTTGTGCACTCGGGGGTGGGGGGGAGGGTCCCTCAGCCTGGCCTGTGCCCTCTCACAGTCTGGGACCCCTCAGGGGATGTCCGCCTGCTGGCTTAGGCCCGCTACCCGAGGGATTGGGCCTAAGCTGGCAGTCAGCCATCCATCTGGCAGCCCGGGAGCCCTTGAGGGATGTCCACTTGCCAGCGGGGAGCAGGCCTGGCTGCAGTCGGACACCCTTAATGCTGCTGAGGTGGCAGGAGAGGCTCCCACCACCACCGCTGTACTGGCAGCCATCAGCCTGGCTTGTGGCTGAGCAGAGCTCCCGCTGTGGGAGTGCACTGACCACCAGGGGGCAGCTCCTGCATTGAGCATCTGCCCCCTGGTGGTCAGTGTGTGTCATAGTGACCAGTCATTCCCAGTCCTTCTGCTGTTAGGGTCAGTTTGCATATTACCCTTTTACTATACAGGATAGAGGCCTGGTGCACGGGTGGGGGCCGGCTGGTTTGCCCTGAAGGGTGTCCCGGATCAGGGTGGGGGTCCCGCTTGGGTGCCTGGCCAGCCGGGATGCGGGGATGATGGCTGTTCACAGCTGGTCACACCCCCTTCAGGGTGGGGGTCCTCACTGGGGTGCCTGGCCAGTCTGGGTGAGGGGATGAGGGCCATTTTCAGGCTGGCGGGTGACTGAAACTCACAACCTCTCCTTTTCTTCTTTTTTTCTTTTTTATTCTGGGATTTATTTACCTTCTATGGCTGTCACTGGAGCTGAGAGCTGGCTTTAGCTCTGAGGCTCAGCTCCAGCTCTGAGACCTTGGTTTGTTTGGCTTCTATAATTGAAACACTGTTGCAACTCCAGCTCTGAGATCTGGGCTGGCTGAAAGCAGGTTTCTGGGGATGGTTTAGCTCCTATAATTGCAACATTGTTTCTTAGAGTGCAAGCTCAGAGCCCAGCAGGGCAGGCAGGGAACCTTGGCTTCCTCCTTCACTGGAGCAAGCAAGCCTCCTGTTCGCTTCAGCTGCCTGGCTGCCGGCTGCCATCTTGGTTGGCAGTTAATTTGCATATCGCCCTGATTAGCCCATGGGAAGTGTGTCGGAGGCACGGTTAATTACCATGTTTCTCTATTATTAGATAGGATGGTGAAGGTTTCACTGATGGGCCGCCTCCTTGTTGGTGGCGTCCACATACAGCAGGCCCTTGAAGACCATCGCTCTGCATCATTTCATTATGACACGGATGACATGCTTTAGGGCGTGGTCCTGTTTACATGAACCGGTGGTGAACCGGCTCCGTCCCACGGAGCGGCACGCAGCCACAGACCCTCCAGGACGCGAGCTGAGAGCAGACGGTGCCTCCCGCCCAGGTGGGCCCCAGTCACCAGTCCTAGCTCACCCCCTGCCTCATCAGACCATTCTGGGCTGGTTTTGGTCTTTTGCTGTCCTTCCCTTCTGGTCTGAACTATATCTTTGTTAATTTTAGAGAGAGAGGAAGGGAGAGAGATAGAGAGAAACATGGATCCGAGAGCTCAGCAGCCTCCTGCACAACCCCCCCCCTCCCCGCCACTAGGGATGGAGCCTGAAACCCGGGCATGTGCCCCGGACGGGAATTGAACCCGTGACATTTCAGTGCACTCGACAACACCCAACCAACGGAGCCAGCCGACCAGGGCCTCCTTTCCTGCCGCAGTAAACCCGCATTCACCATTCACAGCGAGAGGCCGGAGAAGCAAGCTGATCAGAAACAAGCCCCATAATTCGGGTGGGGAAGGGGGAGAGAAGTACGATTTCTCTCACAAAAACGCTCGTGGGTCGCTATGGAGACGCAGGTCTGTTCCTCAAGCCCCACATTCTGAGACGGGAAGACTGGGCACCACCGAAGGACGGAGGCGTCGTGGTTTCCTGGCAATTTCCAGTTCTCACCGGGGAGGCGCTCTTTGCCAGGCTGACTGGCTCTGATGGGCGACCATCCCTGGAAAACACAGGCCGCACCGTGGCACCCAGAGCCTCGGGTCCAGGCCGGCCAGTGGTCAGCGGGGTGCTGAGAGGTGCCAGCTCTGCAAGGGCAGGGGCGCGCCCCCTCACCCGTGTGCCAGCCCTGAGTGGCCAGGTGAGGACCGTAATATGAGAAGAGCAGACGGGTGGGGACCGGAGAAGGCCCTGGGGACACTCCGTTCAGCCCCAGACCAGGTTGGCATATTTCCCTGTGGACCCCGAGAGAAGAAACCTACTAAGAGCTCCTGGTGGCCAACTGGGCTCAAATTTTTTAAATATGTATATTTTTAAATATTTTTCTTTTTTTAATATACTTTTATTGATTTCAGAGAGGGAGGGAGGGAGGGAGAAGGAGAGAGATAGAAACATCAGTGATGAGAGAGAAGAGAGAATCATTGCTCAGCTGCCTCCTGCACGCCCCACCCTGGGGATGGAGCCCCTGGAATCGAACCCAGGCCCCTTCAGTCCACAGGCCTGTGCTCTATCCACTGAGCCAAACCCCCTAGGGCAAAAACATGTTTTTAAAGCAGAGCCTAGCAGCCACTCCTACACAGGGGCCTCTCAAGCAGTTATTGCACTTCCTGGAGAAACCTGCCCTAAACTACCCACCTGTCTGCAGTCTTCTTGCCAGCTGAGCGAGGCCCTTCCCAGAATCCTATTCAACCAATAGGACTGAGGCTCTCCCCCTCCAATCAGAGCTGTGCAGCCATAACACTCCCTTCAGCATCGTCACCTACCAATCAGAGCAGTTCCATTCTGACCAATCAGGACAGTGTCTTTTGGACCAATCAAACTTGGAGGATTTAGAGTCCTCATTTGCCTGAGGATGGACCAATCAGGGATCAGAGGTGGGGACTTCTGTCTAGATAAGTCAGCTCCCTGCCAGCTCTGGGAGTGCACTTTTCCTTTAAAAAAAAAAAAAAATATATATATATATATATATATATATATATATATATATATATATATATATACATATATATATATATATATATATATGTTTTTACTAGAGGCCCAGTGCTGGAATTCATGCACTGGTGGGGTCCCTAGGCCTGGCCATCTCACCCAGTCCTGATGGGGGCTGATGGGGCCGACAGGAGGTTGGCCAGCTGTGGGGAGGGGGGGTTTGCCAGCAGCAGGAGGTGGGGAGCACACCGACTACCAGGGGGCAGTGCCTGTGCTGAGCATCTGCCCCCTGGTGGTCAGTGCGTGTCATAGCGACTGGTCAACAGGTCATTCCGGTTGTTTCAGTCATTCGGTGGTAACAGTCTCTTAGGCTTTTATACGTGTAAATTGATTTCAGAGAGGGAGGGGGATAGAAACATCAATGATGAGAGAGAATCATTGATCGGCTGCCTCCTGCACGCCCCACCCTGGGGATCAAGCCTGAAACCCAGGCATGTGCCCTGACCGGGAATTGAACTCTGGGCCCTTCAGTCCTCAGGTGGAGGCTCTAGCCACTGAGCAACACCGGCCAGGGCCACACTTTCCCTTTCCACTGGGGCGTGTTCTGTCGGCTGGAGCTGAAAGGCTGAGGCTGTCCCACTGGGGCAAAGTGGGGTACACAGGGCAGAGGGGGTGCGCTGGGCAGCTCAGGGCAGAGAGGGGTGCACTGGGCAGAGGGGGGTGTGCTGGGCAGCTCAGGGCAGAGGGGGTGCACTGGGCAGAGGGGGGTGCACTGGGCAGCTCAGGGCAGAGGGGGGTGCACTGGGTTGGAGCAGGTGCAGCCCCCCGAAATCTGGAGAGGGACCTCGTTTAGCAGCCGCACTGTCTCCTGGCTGTGCTGCTCGCAGGGGGGCGGCCACACCGTGAGCCACGTCGCAGCGCAGCGGGAGTTCACACACTGAGCCGCCTGCACCGGTCGCTTCCTCCTCGCCACCCCCCGCGGGGGCTCCCCTTAGGGTTGGATTGACAGGACCCCAATCGGCCCAATCGGCCCCTTGGAAAGAGAAGCGGGACCCTGACTTCACGTGACCGCGCCAATTTCTTAAGTTGCAATGAGTGCGAACTTCAGCTGCTTGGGCGGAACCAGAGAGGCGGTCAGGCCCGGGGCCCAGGCCACTGGGCGGCACTGGGCTCCGCATCGGCCTGGTGGCCCGGCCAACCCAGACCCTCCACCTCCCGGCCGCGGCCTCCCCCCGGGGCGCAGGGGCGCAGGGGCGCAGCCCACAGCCCCGCCACTACCCGACCCGCCATCCCGGGCACCCGCGCGGGACCAAACCATCGCCCAGCGCGGGGCGGGGGGCGCTGCCGTTGGACGGAGCCATCGCCGAGCGAGCGGGCGGCGCGAGCACCCCTCCCCGTGGAGCCGTCCGTTGCCGGGGAGCTGCCGCCCCAAACCGCGCTGCGGGCTGCGGGGAGAGCCGCGCGGGCGCCGGGGCTGCGCTGCCGCGGAGGAGGGACCGGAGGAGGGGCCGCCGTCGGGGTGTCTCCGCCCAGATCCCGCGCCACCCGGACCCCGGCAGGTGGGCCGAGAGGTGGGTCCGTTTGCCCGGAGCCCGGGGCCGGGCGCTGGGGCTTTGGCCGCCTCCCAGACGGGACCGACGCCTCGGCGGGCGGTTTGCGGGAGCCGGGCCGTGGGTCCTGCTCGGCTTGGCGCGGGCTTGCGTGCTGTCCCCGCGCAGTTGGCGGGGCGAGTATTGAGCAGAGCGCAGCCCGGCGGTACCGGGGACCGCGGCGTCCGGGCAGGTGAAGGGGGCGGGGGCGCGCTTGTCACCCACTTGGTTTTAAGCGCAAACCCGCCCTGGCGCGCTGCCTGCTCACATCCAAGCACCTGGCGTGATGCGCGTGGACGCGGCGCACGTGCTTTTCCTAATTCATGAACAACCCCAGGTTCCCGTGGAAGTTGCAAGTGGACCCCACGCGGAAGGCCTTCCCTGAAGCATCTGAGAATCAGGTGCCCGCGGGGCGTGTCGCCCCCGACACTTGGGAGCCTGTCGCCGGCACACAGGGTGCCCTCCCGTCCTGGACCCAGAACTGCCGCGTCTTCCGGGGGAACCGGGCGTCGTCGGGTGAGTGACCCCTGACGCTGTCGCTGCCCTTTGTCTACAGCGTTTTGTCCGTTTCTAAGCAACGCCCCGCTTCCTGGTGACAGTTTCCACACAGCGCCACCTTTCCTGGCTTTCAAATCGGGGTCGAGGAGTTCGATTTTTTGTTATTGGTTTTTAACCCAGTTTGGTAAGATGCTTTTCTTTAGCTTGGCCTTTCACTCTATTTGTATTTTATTTTATTTGTTATTTTGCTAGCAGGATTCATTTCTTGGAAAATACACTTTTTTAAAAATACATTTTTATTGATCTCAGAGAGGAAGGGAGAGGGTGAGAGACAGAGAAACATCCATGATGAGAATCACTGATCGGCTGCCTCCTGCACGCCCCCTATTGGGGATCGAGCTGGCAACCGGGGCATGTGCCCTTGACCAGAGTCTAACCCTGACCTCCTGGTTCATAGGTCAACGCGCAACCACTGAGCCCCGCCGGCCGGCCGAGTGCGTCGTCAGTGCCCTCGACCTCAGGAGGCCTAACCAGCCTGTGCCCTGGGGTCGGACCAGGCACCTGACTGCGGCCGTGGCGGCTTCCCAGCTGGCGGGTCGCCGGTCTCCCGGGGGGTGTCTGTTCCTGGAGGTCTGCCCCTGTCACGTGGGGTCTGGGCTCTCTGTCTCGTTGAGGTGTAGGGACCCTGGACGTGTCGTGGATGCGAGCCCCGCGTCAGACACCTGTGCTGCGCTGTCCTTCCCAGTCCACGCTCACCTCTTCATCTTCTTAACGTCTTTTTTAAAAAAAATATATTTTATTGATTTTTTTACAGAGAGGAAGGGAGAAGGATAGAGAGTTAGAAACATCGATCAGCTGCCTCCTGCACACTCCCCACTGGGGATGTGCCCGCAACCCAGGTACATGCCCTTGACCGGAATCGAACCTGGGACCTTTCAGTCCGCAGGCCGCCGCTCTATCCACTGAGCCACACCGGTCAGGGCAACGTCTTTTTACAAGAGAAGTTGTTAGTTCTTACAAAATCCAACTCTAGGTTATTTTTAAAAGCCTACGATCGTGTGTATCTGTGTTTTGTAACCATGTTTTGCAGCCGACTCCTGCCCCCGAGATGGAGAGCGCTGCCTGCCTGTCCCCGGAGGTGGAGCTCCTGGACGTCCCACTCGTGGAGGACGGTGAGAAAGCGCGTCACCGGGCAGCTCAGGGGCCGGAGATGGGACGCGCTTCATGGTCCCGTCGATTCTTGTGGTTTTTTTCAGAGGGAGTCATCTCTCTTTTTTGGTTAATCCTCACCTGAGGCTATTTTTCCATTGATTTTTAGAGAGAATGGGAGGGAGGGAGGGAGAGAGAGAGAAGAAAGAAACATCGTGAGAGAGAGACACATGGATTGATTGCCTCTCACATGCGCTCCCCTAACCGGCCGGGGTCGAGCCTGGCCCTTCGGGGTGCAGGCCGGCGCTCTAACCGCGGAGCCCACCGGCCAGGCGAGATGTGAGTCTCCTAAACACGGTTGTTTTTTGCAAAGAGGGAGCTGATATTACTCTGTCTTTAGTCGAAACAAAGATAAGCTGTGTCTGCGAGTTTTGAAAGTGGCGGACATTCGAGTCTCAGTTTCCGACGTCTTCACTGAGAAACCTAAGGCCATTCCCATCCTAGTCCTTGGGGTGCGGCCCAGTTGTTTCAGTGGTTGTTGTTGTCTCTCTGATGGTCTGAAGTTTGGGGGGCACTGCTGGGCCCCGGGAAGGACGTGGGTTCCTGGCCCACCGCCCGCCGGCCTGCTGGGCGCTGAGCTGGGCTGACCCTCCCTGACCCGTGCGCCCTCCGGCTCTGCCCCCCTCGCCTCCGAGACCGAGCTGCCCCCCCTCACCACTGAGCCCCCTCCCTGGTTGCTCCCTCCCCGTCGTTTTGTGGAGATTCTCGAAGGAGCGGAGTCAGTCTCCACGCTTTGCCCGCAGCCTGCAGCGATTCTCTAACCTGCTGAACAGCTGTCGGAGACCCCCCCACCCCCCAAGGGCTTCTGCTGATGTCGGCTATAACTCCCGGTTGCTGCTGCATTAAACACTGAGGCTGAAGATACTGCACTTACTTATTCACTTGGAATAGCACCATGAGCCCACGAGAAGCGTGCTTGAGCGGAGGCAACTGGGTTCCCACGCCTGCTGCCATGTCACGCGTCGTGCGGCCTCTGCAAACTGCACCGCACACTCGGGGGGGGGGGGGGGGGGCGGGACCTGGAGCCTCGGCCCTCCCCTTGGTCGCAGGCAACCAATCGATGTGTCTCTTCACGTGGATGTTTCTCTCTGCCTCACCCCCTCCCGTCCACTCTCTAAAAATCAATGGAAAAGTATGTCAGGTGAGGACGGACAGCAGCAACAAAAGGCATGGGAAAGACAAGTGCATTTGGTATTCTTGTGAAAATGGTCTGGCTCTGCAGACCCCACCCCAACGAGATTCAGGGAGCCCCTGGGTTCCTGGGACCACGCTTGGAGAACCGTCGTTCTGGGGCGCCATCACCACCTTTGCCCACGTTGAGCTTGTCCGGGTTTGTTCTAGAACCTCCCACTTGAACGTGTCCGTGTGCTTTTCTTTGTCTTGGTTCTCACCGCGGTTTCTAGAGAGAGATGAGCTGGAGGACCCCGAGTTCAAGGTGGAGACCCCTCCTCCGGGGGCTGAGGGCGGTGCCTGCTTGGGGAGCCGGTAGGTGCTGGGGGCACCCCAGGCCCTCGGACTCAGGGGCTGGCTGGGCTGCGTCCCGCAGGGCGTGCTGGCTGCTCAGCGGCAGTGGTGCCCTCTGCCTTCAGCCCAGGGGGAGCGGCGAAGGCCGAGGCTGATGAGAAGAGGTCCGTCCTGGACTGGGTCCAGGCGTTGATCCTGCGCAGGGACGTGGGCCGCCTGGACCAGCTGCACAAAGAGAAGGACCTCCTCCTCCAGAGAACGAGGTGAGCCTGGCCCGGGGGGCGTTGGGGGCAGGCAGACACGGGGCGGGGGGCGGGCGGAGGTCCTGGAGGCCGGGGCTGGGCGTCCGCCGCCTCGGTGCACAGGCCTCCGGGCTGCGGCTGCCCCTCCTGCCCCGGGTCCTCTGGCTGGGCCTCCCTGCTGCCTGGCCACCACCCAGCTTAGCAGCAGTGCCGGTGCCACCCACGGCGTGTCCCCAGCGTCTGTGAGAAACATCGCACTCACATACAAGCTGGAAACACTCGCACGGCCGTCACCCCTGTACAGCCCACTGGCCGCTCGTCCCGCCTGTCGGGTGTCGTGTCTGTGATGCTTCCCGCCGAGGTACCTGGAAGCAAGGTGTGGGCGGCGCGTGCTGGCCCCCGGCCGTCGGTGTCTCCCAGCTCACAGGCCGCCTTCCCTGTGAGCCTCACCGCGGACACTTCCCACTGACGTTGAGGGAGAGTGGATGGGGGGGTGGGGGGAGACAGAGAGAAACATCCATGTGAGAGAGACACATCGACCGGTTGCCTCCTGCACGCGCCCCAACCAGGGCCCCGGGCCGGGGAGGAGCCTGCAACCGAGGGCATGTGCCCTGGACCAGAGTGGAATCCGGGACCGCCCAGTCCGCAGGCCGGCGCTCTCTCCACTGGGCCACCCCAGCTGTGGCCACACAATGTTCTTTTGTGCGACCTCAGTACCTACTTCCCCCGAGAAAACCAAGATCCCTGACACCTCGGGCGGGCTCCGTGTCTCGGGCCGTGAAAGCTGGTGCCCGGGGTTTGGTTCTGGAGTTTTAACGGAGGCGACGGGCACGGCACAGTTCGGCACTAGAGCAGCCCCATGGGCGTGGCTGTCCGGTCTGAGGCCTGTGCCCTCTGGGCCCCAGGGCCCTTCCCGTTCAAGGTCACCCCCCGTGGGCGCAGGTCACACGGGCTCCCAGAGGGGTTTTCAGGAAACAGAAGGAGCAGCCCCTGGTGTGCTTGGCCCCGAGACCTGGGAACCGGCATGCCCGGCCCCTCTGGAGGCCGGGCAGCAGCGGAGGAGCCGGGGACAGGGAGGCCGTGCCGCACTCCAGCCCGTGACCGGTCCTGCCTTCCCACTGCAGAGGGGAGCTGCGCGCCTCCCAGCGTATGGACCTCCTCACCCGGCAGCAGCAGAGGATGAAAGCCAAGGAGGCCAACCACGCGTAGGTCCCGGGCGTGCAGGGGGGTGGGCGGGGCCACGGGCAGACATGCCTCCGCACAGTGAAGTGGCCTGGCCAGTGTGGCTCAGTGGACAGTGTGTCGGCCCTCAGACTGAAGGGTCCCAGCTCGATTCCCGGCAAGGGCACATACCTCGGTTGCGGGCTTGATCCCTGGCCCTGGTCAGGGCGTGTGCAGGAGGCAACCGGTTGATGTTTCTCTCTGTCTCTCCCCCTCCCTCCCACTCGCTTTAAAATCAATGGAAAAATACCCGCAGGTGAGGACTAACAACAAACCGTGTGAGAATAGACGACCCCGAATGGACTCCAAGCGTCTGGGGGTCACAAGGGCAGGAAGCCAGGGGCCAAGAGGCCCAGATGGGCAGTCACTTGGAAGCAGGTGGACAGGGCAGGGCCCCCGGGAGGTGACTCCAGGCTGGGACCCAGTGACAGAAGCGAGCCGCTGGCAGAGACGGGGAAGGAGCATTGTGGGCGCAGAGAGGGGCGTCCTGGGGACCTGCAGGGAGGGGCAGGGTGCCCTCGGGGCTGGGCCTGCCCAGGTGAGGAGGCAATGCGGGGGTCGAGGCCGCCCACCCCCTGCCCCACCCCCGCCCACTCACCTCCGCAGCGCAGCGGGATCAGATCTGAGATCAGCGCTGGGCTCTGGGTCGGCGTCCAGGCGCCGCAGCCGCAGGAGGGCAGGGAAGAGAGAGAGAGCCCACAGCTGGGCTCAGCTGCTGTCCTTCCTCCTGCCCCCAGCCCGTGGGCCTGCCACTCTGAGGGGCCAGTGGCGGGGAGCGGCCCCACCTGGAGAAGCGCCGCGGGGGCCCACGGGGAGCAGGGGAGGGGTCTCTGTGGGGATGGCAGGCCAGGCGAAGGCACCGCTGAGCCTCAGAGGGGCCTGGGGTGCGTGGCCTCCAGGCGCTCCGGGACCCGGCCCCGACGCGTTCCTGACGCATTCCATCCTCCTTCGCTGTGCAGTGCAGCGTGGGCCGCCTCCGGCCGCGTCCCAGGGCCTCCTCTCGGAGCTGGAGGCCGAGAGGGACCCCCAGGCGAGAAGCCAGGCCTCACTGAGGGAGAACGCGTGGCGGGCGCTCCTGCTCGGAGGGTGCCGCCGCCACAGTGCCCTCGCCCACACACCACCCTCCTCCGCCAGGAACGCCGCGTGGCCCGTCACCCCCCTGGAGGGGCAGCCGGAGGGCGCGCAGCAGGCGGCCCTGGAGGAGCGGGAGGCCTCGGGGAGGCGCCTGCGGGAGCAGGCGGCCCAGCAGCTCTCTAAGGAGAAGGAGGCCTGGGGCAAGACGGAGCGGAACCGGCTGCTGAGGGTCAGGTGGGCCGGTCGCGGGCCCTGCCCCTGCCCCTGCCCGAGTCCCTCGTCGACCTCACGTTGATGTCCCTCCCGGACCCCCTTCCCCTCGGGCTCCCCGTCCTCCCGAGACTCCGCCCTGGGCTCCGAGTGGGAGAGCACCCCCAGGTGTGTCACAGCCAGGGACCCAGCACCCCGCCCAAAGGATGCGCGTCCTCTTCCAGCCCCTGCGCACGCACACGTGTGTGTGTGTGTGTGTGTGTGTGTGTGTGTGTGCACGTGTGCGCGTGACCACCCTCACCGCTCAGCGGCTCTGTCTCCATCCAGGGGCCCCCACTCTCTAAAAATCAACCCTGGGCCACCCCCTTCTGCCGCCCACGTGGGGCCCAAGCCCAGGTCCGCACCCACGGGGTCCTGGTTCCTGGGCTCCCTCAGCCGGATCCAGGCTCCCGGGGGCTCCCCCGGCGCGAGCTGGAGCCGGCCTGTCTCGCAGGAGGTCCACGCACCAGCAGAAGGAGCACGGGCTGCGGCACCTGAAGCTGGTGGAGGACGCCAGGCGGAACCACCGGGTGGCGGTGAAGTTCCTGAAGGCCTCGCTGGGCAGGTAGCGCCCTCCCGGCGGGTGGGCGGGCGGGCGGGGAGGCTTGCACGCGGGCAGCCCGGCCTCCATCTGTCCTTGAACCTCACCATCACCCTCAAACGAGAATAAAAGTGTGCGTTTCGCTTCGAGCTGCGTGCCCGCGTGTCCAGAGCAGGGCCACGGGCACGACCTTGTCCCGGGAACGTCGGCTTCGGTCCACGTGGCCTCGGTTCCCTTCCGTCCCACACGCCTGCCTGCGGGCGGCCGTTCACGGTGCCCGCTCCCCAGGGTGCAGGAGCAGGAGCGGCAGCGGGAGCGGGAGGCCCGCGAGCACGTGCAGAGGCGCATGGACGCCGTGCTGACCCTGAAGAACAGCATCACGGCCAACCGGGTAGGCCCCTCCCACCGCCTCCCACTCCCTCCAGCCTCACCCTCAGGCCCCGTGGGGCGAGCTGTCCGCACCCTGCCCACCCTCCCGAACCCCCTCCTGGCCCCCCGGCCCCCCGGAAGTGCCCCCCACGTCCTCGTCTCAAGACTCAGTGCTCCCGGGGGACACACCCTGTGTCCGCCCGGCCTCCTCGTCAGGCACAGGTCGGCCGGAGGACAGCAGCATGGCCCGCCCTCCACAGGCCTGGCCCTGTGGGGAGGGCTGTGACCAGGCTCCAGGGTCGGGCCTCCCTGGAGGAGGTGACCCCCCGGGGCTCAGCATGTGCAGTTAGGCCAGGGAAGCCGGGGGGGGGGGGGGGGCTCTGTAAAGGCTCAGAGGCAGGAGAGAGCACGGGGGGGGGGGGGCAGGTGGGCAGGAAGAGCAAGGGCGCAGAGGTGAGCGGGCGGCACACAGCCGCGCAGACCGGCTCCACCACCGAGGACGCAGGAGGGGGCTCCGTGTGCAGGCGTGCACATGTGTGTGCCAGCGTGCAGGCCCTGCTAGTGCTGTGACCTCTGTGTGTTCTGTCCCAAGGAAACGCTCCGGAAATTCCAAGCGTGGGGCCAGGCCAGGGCGGAGCTGGCTGTGCAGAAGGCCCGGGCGGAGAAGCAGGCGATCCTGGCCCAGGGCGGGAACGCTTTCAAGCTCCTCTTCCATCAGCACCGGCGCCAGGAGCTGGAGGCCCAGAAACGGTGAGGCCCCCAGAGGTGCCGGCCTGATGGGGGGGGGTGCTTCTGCCTCCGCCTGAGCCCCCCCAGGACAGGCCTGTGGGATGCAGCCTAAGGCTCCAGTCCCCTCCACCGGGTCCTGCCAAGCCCTCCCTGCCCGGGCCCCTGGGCTCAGGGCCCAGCCCCTCCCACCCGTGTGCCTGGGCGCTGCCCTCAGCCTCCTGCCCGGTTTCCAGACGCTGCCCCCGCCACCAGCCTCCCCCACCCACTCTCTGTCCCTTCCTGGGGCTGAGGCCGCCGGGCTCGTCTTCAGCTCTGGGGCACCCCTTTCCGGCCCCCCCAGACCATAGCTCAACGCGGCTGTCACTCACCCCGAGACAGCCCTTGGGCCCTGCGAGGTCCCCGCCACCGCTCCTGGGCCACACCGGCCCTGAGAGGAGGCCCCACAGGTGGCCCACCCAGGGGTCCTGCAGGAGTGCTCGCTCAGGCCCAGGTTCCTGCCTGTCCTGTCCTCCCACCCACCCACCCCCCTTCCCAGCTGCTAGCATCCACCCAGGTGTGGCCTCCTGGTCCGCTCCCTGGGACAGCGGCTCTTGTCCAGGCATCTTGGTGCCTGAGCATCACCCCGCGGGCGAGTGGGGAGCCTCAGGCCCTGATGCTGCCTCCTGTGTGTGCACCTCAGTGGGGCTCCCCTGGCGCCAGCAGGAAGCTCACGAGGGGCGAGGCCCCTGTTTGCTGTGGGGACTGGACTGGGTGGAGGTTCGAGTCCTGGGCTCCCCTGAGCAGTGGGGCCAGGCCTGGGCGGCTGGGCAGGGCCTGTGCTCGCCGAGGGGGGAGGCCCAGCCGCACGCCTGCTCTGAGCCGCCGCCTTCCCCAGCGCCTTCGAGGAGGAGCAGAGGCTCAGGAAGCATGAGATCGTGGGTCGGCTTCTGAAGGAGGAGGCTGAGGAGACCAGGAGGCGGCGGCCGCCATCACCGCCGGCCACGGCCACGGCCACGGCCACGGCCACCGCCCGGCCCTCCCTGAGGAACAAGACCTGGGACTACCTGGCCGACATCAGCGAGGGGAGGACGCCCGGGGCTCCCGGCCCAGTGGTGAGCCCCACAGGAGCAGAGGGCCCAGCGGGCATGGCGCTGGGTGGCGTCCTGGGGACATGGCGTCACCTCCCCGTGCGTGGATCCCTCCCCTCCCGGTTCTCCCGCTTCTTCCCGAGGGCGGGGCCCCCGCTCTGGGCAGCCTGGCCCTCGTGGTCCCTCTGAGGGGCTCAGGGTAGCGGCAGGGCTCAGCTCCACTGCAGGTCGCGGCCATGTGTCCATCTGGGAGCCAGCCTGTCCTGGGCAACGGCTCAGGGGTGAGGGGCGGGACCCAGGACCTGCGCCTCGTCAGCCACGGGAGCCACGGCTCGGGCCACTTCCCTCCCCAGTTTACAGGCCAAGACGGAAGGTCAGCCAGGGCCAGGGCCGACTTGTGCCCCAGCCCCCCACATGCAGAGACGGCAGCTTTCCTCTCCGTCCTCCCTCCCTCCCTCCCTCTGTCCTCCCTCCACACTGGGGGCCGTCTGCCTGCCTCTCCGAGGGTGTGGGGCAGGGGCAGGTGCCGCTCCTGAGCCTGGCCTGGCACTTTCGATTCTGCCTTGTGCCCGCTGTGACCCCAGCACCTGAAGGTCACGGTCACTGGCTTCAACACCCCGCTGCGGGCAGCACCCTCCGGCTTCCCCTCTCCGTGCATTTCAGCTCTTTTCCTGTTTCCCAGGCCCGTCTGGGCTCCCCGGCACCTGCCCTGCTCCCCTCCCGGGGCCGCCCTCTGCGTCCTGTCTGGCTCGGAGCCCCGGCTCTGTCCCGTCACCACCGGGCGTTTCGGGGTGTTTTCCGGGAAAACCAGAAATGCCAGCCGCTTGGGGTCAGGCGGGACACGGCACAGCCGTCCGCAAAGAGGAGGCCTCGTGGGCGTCGGAGGAAACGCCAGCGTGGAGATGCGCGCGTTGTCTTTGAAATGGAAAAGCCTGCAATGGGGCTCTGGTCGGCGGAACGCGGAAGAGGGGGGCCCTGACCCCGTGCCCTTCTGGCTGCTGGTCCCTGTTCCCGCAGCGGCCGCTGTGCTCCTCCTCCCCGACAGGAGAGCGCCAGCCTTCCCCTCCCCGACCGCTCCGGGCTGATGCCTGCCGTCTCCAGCGAGTCCATCCAGGGCGCCTCCGGCAGCCTCAGCTGGGAAGACCAGACGCTGGTGGAGCCGGAAATCTGCGGGCTCTGGAACCAGGGCCACAAGGCGCACGAGGTACCTGCCCTCGCATGTGACCTGCGCGTCGCGGGCCCGGCCCTCCCCCGCCCCCGGCCCTCCTCCGCCCCCGCCCCCGCCACCCCCCCCCCCCATGGTGGCTCCCCGGGGATGCGGTCGGCCTCCCGTGCGGGGACGGGTCCTAGGTTCGTTCTGCTTGGTCTTCGGGAAAGAACTTCCAGAAAAGGCACAGGTTCAGAACGTCCTTTGAAAGCCTTTTTCAAGGGACGTGCTCCGTGCCGAGCCCTGGCCTCCTGGCCCTGAAGGAGCAGGCACAACTCGAGCGGCCAGGCGGTCAGCCCGTGTGCGGGGAGCTCCCAGGACAGCGGCCACCGCCACGGCTCTGTCCCTGCACCGGCAGCTGCGGCCAGGCCACACACGCGCGGTGCCGTTGCCGTAAAGGCAAAGCCACGCTGGTTCCGGGGAAGCTGGACTGAGGGGGCCCGAGACACAGGGCGGGACCTGAGCCAGTCCCAGGAGGGCGGTGGGCACCTGGGGACGGGCCCTCCGGCCGGGGCAGCAAGGGCAGCAGGACACCCAGCTCCTCGGCCGGGACTCACAGAACTTTCAGGAAGGCAGCCCTGGGCCGGACGGTCCCCGAGGCAGGAGGCCCCTTCTCCCTGCCTCTGTGCCGGGTTTGCCGCCATCTCCCGAAAATCTGCTGGGGTCCTGGCCGGTCTTGTCTTCCCTTCCTCTGAAGCGAGGTGCCCGCCTGGCTCACGTCGGGGTTCCCTGGTGACCCCTGCACAGGACACGCCTCCCTCTGCCCTGGGCCAGGCCTTGCCTCCGGCCCAGGCTCTGTCCCTGCGACCCCAGGTGCCCAAGGAGGAGGTGGACCGCAAGCCCGTCGGGGGGACGAAGATGGAGAAGGACATCCTGGCCCGCACCGTGGAGCAGCTGCGGAGCAGGGTGGTCCACAAGCAGGTGGCGTCCGGGCGCGAGTTCAAAGGCTGCCCCTTCAACAGCAAGCCCAAGCTCATCCACTTCAAGGTGAGCCGGGCCGGCCGGCCGGAGGGAGGGCGCCCGCGGCCCTGGTGCAGGGGTGACGGCTCAGGCCGCCTTCGAGGGGCGTGGCTTCTGAGTGTCCTATTGCAAAGGGAGAGAGGACAGGCCTCCGTCTCTGCAGGGGAGGGGCTGGGGGCGCCGGGCGCCCTGCGGGCACAGCACTGGGGCAGGCGGGAGGTCCAGGGCCTGGCCACCCGTCACAGTCACCGTCGGTGCTGTGGGCGGTCACGGGCGGGAGATTAATCGTCCAGCCCGGGGCCCTCCGCTGTCCAGCTGCCACCCAAGCTCCCCCTGGGGTCCCCCGGAAGCTGCTTCCTGCTCTGACACAGGCGAGCCCGGCACCCCTCACCCTGCTCCGCGGGCCACAGAGGGGCAGCCGTGGGGGGTGGGGCCTCACCACACCTGTCGGCTCCGGTCGCCCAGGTGTGAGGATAACGCTCCGTGTCCCCAGGACTTCGACATCGGCAAAGTGTACAAGAAGAGGATGACGCTGATCAACGCCACCTACACCATCAACTACTGCAAGCTGGAGGGCGTGGACGAGCACCTGCGGGACTTCATCCACATCGCGTGAGGGGGGCACGCTGCTCACTCAGGACCCCAGCCCCCCCGCCCCCCCCCCCCCGCCTCCCCACCTCCCCGCACGGGCGGGGCAGCCGTTTTCTCAGACCTGTCAACAGCTCCCGGGGCCAGAGCTCCAGACAACTGCTCACCCAGGGCCTCTGCTGCCCCGGCCCCACGCCCCGTCCCGGCCCCACGCTGCGGCTCGCTGCCCTCCGTGGCCGTGTCGCACTGGCTGCCACGACCTCTCACTGAGGCTCTCCCTGCACTTGCCGTGCTTCTCGTGTCTAAAAGCTCTAAGTTCTCCTTCAAACGGCCCCGTTCCCTCCTGTGCCCGTAACCCCCTGGGCGGTGATCCCTTGGCCCAGGCCCCGGTCTGCCTGGTCCTGCTGTCCGGCCTCCGCTCGGCCCCACCCCTGGGGCCTGCCCTCCCAGGGGGGCTGGGACCTGCCACACGGCCAGGGGCAGGTTCCTGATGAAGCCAGCCCTTCGGTCAGACCCGACCTGGGACAGCAGGCCGCAGCCGCTGACTCCACATCCTCTGGGCAGCTGCAGCCCTGTTTCTGGAACTTTCCCTGACATGGGGCTCCCTCCCTGGCATCGCCCTCACCCTGGGCCCTCGGTGCCCAGGGCAGCAGTGGCTGTGGCCGCTGCCACCTCATGGCCGTCCCTTCCGCCCGGCCCCTGGGGGCTTTTCTTGCGGCTCCTTCCTCCTCCACCCGCCCGCCCGCCCACCCGCTCACACTCGGGACAGTCAGGTGGCACCGGGCGCCCTGCGGGCGAGTCCTGGGAGGCGCGGGCGCAGCACTGGGGCAGGCGGGAGGTCCAGGGCCTGGCCACCCGTCACAGTCACCAGTGGTGCTGTGGGCGGTCGCGGGCGGGAGATTAACCGCGGACGTGTCTGTGCCTGCAGCTTCGACCCCCCTGGCGCCATGTCGGCCGGCATGTCCTGCGAAGTGCTGGTCACCTTCAAGCCCATGGTGAGCGTCGGCTCAGGACGAGGGGGGGCCGGGCTGCGGGGCGTCACGGGGAATCACCCACGTGCCCCTCGGGTTTATTTTTCAGGTCGAGAAGGACCTGGAGGGAAGGATCTGGTTTCTGGCGCAGACGGGCCGGTTTTCCGTCCCCCTGAAGTGCTCCATCAAGCAGTGCTCCGTGCGTCCCGGGCCGAGCGGAGGGGGTCCTGGAGGGGGGAGCGCGGGGCGGGGGTTCTATCGGGTCTCCGTCGCGCCCCCCCTGCCCTGAGACACACCCCATGCTGGGCGGAGCCAGACCCAGGCCCAGGGTCAGGGAGCCCCCAGGCTGTCGCTCTGCGCTCTGGGCCCCATTTAGTCTCCGCCTCCGCCGTCCCGTGTGCCTGGGCTTTCTCACAACTGCAAGTTTGCGCCTTGGACCGGTTCACCCATTCTGTCGCCCCTCCCCCCGCAGCGGGTGGCCTCACTGTGGTCCGCGCCTGTGGACCCCGACCGCCCTGTCTCTGTGGGACTCGCGCGGCCCACTGCCTCCAGGCCCCTCCTTTCCGACTGAGGGACAGCCCATCCAGTTCAGCTGTGCGCCCCTCTGGGCTGCTCCCCACAGGGCTGCTCCCCCAGGGCTGCTCCCCCAGGGCTGCTCCCCACAGGACTGCTCCCCCAGAGCTGCTCCCCCAGGGCTGCTCCCCACAGGGCTGCTCCCCATAGGACTGCTCCTCCACAGGACTGCTCCCCACAGGGCTGCTCCCCACAGGGCTGCTCCCACAGGGCTGCTCCCCCCAGGGCTGCTCCCCACAGGGCTGCTCCCCATAGGACTGCTCCTCCACAGGACTGCTCCCCACAGGGCTGCTCCCCACAGGGCTGCTCCCACAGGGCTGCTCCCCCAGGGCTGCTCCCCCCGGGCTGCTCCCCACAGGACTGCTCCCCACAGGACTGCTCCCCACAGGGCTGCTCCCCCCGGGCTGCTCCCCACAGGGCTGCTCCCCCAGGGCTGCTCCCCACAGGACTGCTCCCCCAGAGCTGCTCCCCCAGGGCTGCTCCCCACAGGGCTGCTCCCCATAGGACTGCTCCTCCACAGGACTGCTCCCCACAGGGCTGCTCCCCACAGGGCTGCTCCCACAGGGCTGCCCCCCCAGGGCTGCTCCCCACAGGGCTGCTCCCCACAGGGCTGCTCCCACAGGACTGCTCCCCACAGGGCTGCTCCCCACAGGGCTGCTCCCACAGGGCTGCTCCCCACAGGACTGCTCCCCCAGGGCTGCTCCCACAGGACTGCTCCCCACAGGGCTGCTCCCCACAGGACTGCTCCCCACAGGACTGCTCCCCCAGAGCTGCTCCCCCAGGGCTGCTCCCCACAGGGCTGCTCCCCATAGGACTGCTCCTCCACAGGACTGCTCCCCACAGGGCTGCTCCCCACAGGGCTGCTCCCACAGGGCTGCTCCCCCAGGGCTGCTCCCCCCGGGCTGCTCCCCACAGGACTGCTCCCCACAGGGCTGCTCCCCACAGGACTGCTCCCCCAGGGCTGCTCCCACAGGACTGCTCCCCACAGGGCTGCTCCCCACAGGGCTGCTCCCCCAGGGCTGCTCCCCCCGGGCTGCTCCCCACAGGACTGCTCCCCACAGGACTGCTCCCCACAGGGCTGCTCCCCACAGGACTGCTCCCCACAGGGCTGCTCCCCACAGGACTGCTCCCCACAGGACTGCTCCCCACAGGGCTGCTCCCCACAGGGCTGCTCCCACAGGGCTGCTCCCCCCAGGGCTGCTCCCACAGGGCTGCTCCCACAGGGCTGCTCCCACAGGGCTGCTCCCCACAGGACTGCTCCCCCAGGGCTGCTCCCACAGGACTGCTCCCCACAGGGCTGCTCCCCACAGGGCTGCTCCCCCAGGGCTGCTCCCCCCGGGCTGCTCCCCACAGGACTGCTCCCCACAGGACTGCTCCCCCAGAGCTGCTCCCCCAGGGCTGCTCCCCACAGGGCTGCTCCCCATAGGACTGCTCCTCCACAGGACTGCTCCCCACAGGGCTGCTCCCCACAGGGCTGCTCCCACAGGGCTGCTCCCCCCAGGGCTGCTCCCCACAGGGCTGCTCCCCATAGGACTGCTCCTCCACAGGACTGCTCCCCACAGGGCTGCTCCCCACAGGGCTGCTCCCACAGGGCTGCTCCCCCCAGGGCTGCTCCCCCCGGGCTGCTCCCCACAGGACTGCTCCCCACAGGACTGCTCCCCACAGGGCTGCTCCCCCCGGGCTGCTCCCCACAGGGCTGCTCCCCCAGGGCTGCTCCCCACAGGACTGCTCCCCCAGAGCTGCTCCCCCAGGGCTGCTCCCCACAGGGCTGCTCCCCATAGGACTGCTCCTCCACAGGACTGCTCCCCACAGGGCTGCTCCCCACAGGGCTGCTCCCACAGGGCTGCTCCCCCCAGGGCTGCTCCCCACAGGGCTGCTCCCCATAGGACTGCTCCTCCACAGGACTGCTCCCCACAGGGCTGCTCCCCACAGGGCTGCTCCCACAGGGCTGCTCCCCCCAGGGCTGCTCCCCCCGGGCTGCTCCCCACAGGACTGCTCCCCACAGGACTGCTCCCCACAGGGCTGCTCCCCCCGGGCTGCTCCCCACAGGGCTGCTCCCCCAGGGCTGCTCCCCACAGGACTGCTCCCCAGAGCTGCTCCCCCAGGGCTGCTCCCCACAGGGCTGCTCCCCATAGGACTGCTCCTCCACAGGACTGCTCCCCACAGGGCTGCTCCCCACAGGGCTGCTCCCACAGGGCTGCTCCCCCCAGGGCTGCTCCCCACAGGGCTGCTCCCCACAGGGCTGCTCCCACAGGACTGCTCCCCACAGGGCTGCTCCCCACAGGGCTGCTCCCCACAGGGCTGCTCCCACAGGGCTGCTCCCCACAGGACTGCTCCCCCAGGGCTGCTCCCACAGGACTGCTCCCCACAGGGCTGCTCCCCACAGGACTGCTCCCCACAGGACTGCTCCCCCAGAGCTGCTCCCCCAGGGCTGCTCCCCACAGGGCTGCTCCCCATAGGACTGCTCCTCCACAGGACTGCTCCCCACAGGGCTGCTCCCCACAGGGCTGCTCCCACAGGGCTGCTCCCCCAGGGCTGCTCCCCCCGGGCTGCTCCCCACAGGACTGCTCCCCACAGGGCTGCTCCCCACAGGACTGCTCCCCCAGGGCTGCTCCCACAGGACTGCTCCCCACAGGGCTGCTCCCCACAGGGCTGCTCCCCCAGGGCTGCTCCCCCCGGGCTGCTCCCCACAGGACTGCTCCCCACAGGACTGCTCCCCACAGGGCTGCTCCCCACAGGACTGCTCCCCACAGGGCTGCTCCCCACAGGACTGCTCCCCACAGGACTGCTCCCCACAGGGCTGCTCCCCACAGGGCTGCTCCCACAGGGCTGCTCCCCCAGGGCTGCTCCCACAGGGCTGCTCCCCACAGGGCTGCTCCCACAGGGCTGCTCCCCACAGGACTGCTCCCCCAGGGCTGCTCCCACAGGACTGCTCCCCACAGGGCTGCTCCCCACAGGGCTGCTCCCCCAGGGCTGCTCCCCCCGGGCTGCTCCCCACAGGACTGCTCCCCACAGGACTGCTCCCCCAGAGCTGCTCCCCCAGGGCTGCTCCCCACAGGGCTGCTCCCCATAGGACTGCTCCTCCACAGGACTGCTCCCCACAGGGCTGCTCCCCACAGGGCTGCTCCCACAGGGCTGCTCCCCCCAGGGCTGCTCCCCACAGGGCTGCTCCCCATAGGACTGCTCCTCCACAGGACTGCTCCCCACAGGGCTGCTCCCCACAGGGCTGCTCCCACAGGGCTGCTCCCCCCAGGGCTGCTCCCCCCGGGCTGCTCCCCACAGGACTGCTCCCCACAGGACTGCTCCCCACAGGGCTGCTCCCCCGGGCTGCTCCCCACAGGGCTGCTCCCCCAGGGCTGCTCCCCACAGGACTGCTCCCCCAGAGCTGCTCCCCCAGGGCTGCTCCCCACAGGGCTGCTCCCCATAGGACTGCTCCTCCACAGGACTGCTCCCCACAGGGCTGCTCCCCACAGGGCTGCTCCCACAGGGCTGCTCCCCCCAGGGCTGCTCCCCACAGGGCTGCTCCCCACAGGGCTGCTCCCACAGGACTGCTCCCCACAGGGCTGCTCCCCACAGGGCTGCTCCCCACAGGGCTGCTCCCACAGGGCTGCTCCCCACAGGACTGCTCCCCCAGGGCTGCTCCCACAGGACTGCTCCCCACAGGGCTGCTCCCCACAGGACTGCTCCCCACAGGACTGCTCCCCCAGAGCTGCTCCCCCAGGGCTGCTCCCCACAGGGCTGCTCCCCATAGGACTGCTCCTCCACAGGACTGCTCCCCACAGGGCTGCTCCCCACAGGGCTGCTCCCACAGGGCTGCTCCCCCAGGGCTGCTCCCCCCGGGCTGCTCCCCACAGGACTGCTCCCCACAGGGCTGCTCCCCACAGGACTGCTCCCCCAGGGCTGCTCCCACAGGACTGCTCCCCACAGGGCTGCTCCCCACAGGGCTGCTCCCCCAGGGCTGCTCCCCCCGGGCTGCTCCCCACAGGACTGCTCCCCACAGGACTGCTCCCCACAGGGCTGCTCCCCACAGGACTGCTCCCCACAGGGCTGCTCCCCACAGGACTGCTCCCCACAGGACTGCTCCCCACAGGGCTGCTCCCCACAGGGCTGCTCCCACAGGGCTGCTCCCCCCAGGGCTGCTCCCACAGGGCTGCTCCCCACAGGGCTGCTCCCACAGGGCTGCTCCCCACAGGACTGCTCCCCCAGGGCTGCTCCCACAGGACTGCTCCCCACAGGGCTGCTCCCCACAGGGCTGCTCCCCCAGGGCTGCTCCCCCCGGGCTGCTCCCCACAGGACTGCTCCCCACAGGACTGCTCCCCCAGAGCTGCTCCCCCAGGGCTGCTCCCCACAGGGCTGCTCCCCATAGGACTGCTCCTCCACAGGACTGCTCCCCACAGGGCTGCTCCCCACAGGGCTGCTCCCACAGGGCTGCTCCCCCCAGGGCTGCTCCCCACAGGGCTGCTCCCCATAGGACTGCTCCTCCACAGGACTGCTCCCCACAGGGCTGCTCCCCACAGGGCTGCTCCCACAGGGCTGCTCCCCCCAGGGCTGCTCCCCCCGGGCTGCTCCCCACAGGACTGCTCCCCACAGGGCTGCTCCCCCCGGGCTGCTCCCCACAGGGCTGCTCCCCCAGGGCTGCTCCCCACAGGACTGCTCCCCCAGAGCTGCTCCCCCAGGGCTGCTCCCCACAGGGCTGCTCCCCATAGGACTGCTCCTCCACAGGACTGCTCCCCACAGGGCTGCTCCCCACAGGGCTGCTCCCACAGGGCTGCTCCCCCCAGGGCTGCTCCCCACAGGGCTGCTCCCCACAGGGCTGCTCCCACAGGACTGCTCCCCACAGGGCTGCTCCCCACAGGGCTGCTCCCCACAGGGCTGCTCCCACAGGGCTGCTCCCCACAGGACTGCTCCCCCAGGGCTGCTCCCACAGGACTGCTCCCCACAGGGCTGCTCCCCACAGGGCTGCTCCCCCAGGGCTGCTCCCCCCGGGCTGCTCCCCACAGGACTGCTCCCCACAGGACTGCTCCCCACAGGACTGCTCCCCCAGAGCTGCTCCCCCAGGGCTGCTCCCCACAGGGCTGCTCCCCATAGGACTGCTCCTCCACAGGACTGCTCCCCACAGGGCTGCTCCCCACAGGGCTGCTCCCACAGGGCTGCTCCCCCAGGGCTGCTCCCCCCGGGCTGCTCCCCACAGGACTGCTCCCCACAGGGCTGCTCCCCACAGGACTGCTCCCCCAGGGCTGCTCCCACAGGACTGCTCCCCACAGGGCTGCTCCCCACAGGGCTGCTCCCCCAGGGCTGCTCCCCCCGGGCTGCTCCCCACAGGGCTGCTCCCCACAGGACTGCTCCCCCCGGGCTGCTCCCCACAGGACTGCTCCCCACAGGACTGCTCCCCCAGAGCTGCTCCCACAGGGCTGCTCCCCACAGGACTGCTCCCCACAGGGCTGCTCCCCACAGGACTGCTCCCCACAGGACTGCTCCCCACAGGGCTGCTCCCCACAGGGCTGCTCCCACAGGGCTGCTCCCCCCAGGGCTGCTCCCACAGGGCTGCTCCCCACAGGGCTGCTCCCACAGGGCTGCTCCCCACAGGACTGCTCCCCCAGGGCTGCTCCCACAGGACTGCTCCCCACAGGGCTGCTCCCCATAGGACTGCTCCTCCACAGGACTGCTCCCCACAGGGCTGCTCCCCACAGGGCTGCTCCCACAGGGCTGCTCCCCCCAGGGCTGCTCCCCACGGGGCTGCTCCCCATAGGACTGCTCCTCCACAGGGCTGCTCCCCACAGGGCTGCTCCCCACAGGCCTGCTCCCCACAGGGCTGCTCCCACAGGGCTGCTCCCCCCAGGGCTGCTCCCACAGGGCTGCTCCCCACAGGGCTGCTCCCACAGGGCTGCTCCCCACAGGACTGCTCCCCCAGGGCTGCTCCCACAGGACTGCTCCCCACAGGGCTGCTCCCCACAGGGCTGCTCCCCCAGGGCTGCTCCCCCCGGGCTGCTCCCCACAGGACTGCTCCCCACAGGACTGCTCCCCACAGGGCTGCTCCCCACAGGACTGCTCCCCACAGGGCTGCTCCCCACAGGACTGCTCCCCACAGGACTGCTCCCCACAGGGCTGCTCCCCACAGGGCTGCTCCCACAGGACTGCTCCCCACAGGGCTGCTCCCACAGGACTGCTCCCCACAGGACTGCTCCCCCAGGGCTGCTCCCCCAGGGCTGCTCCCCCAGGACTGCTCCCCCGGGGCTGTGGAGGACAGGTGTGTTCAGTGCGGGCTGCTGCCTTCCTGGCCCCGTCACCCTCCCGCTGGCGTCCCTTGGCAGCTGTCCCTGGACAAGGAGCTCATCAACTTTGGCAGCTACGTGGTGGGTGAGACCGCATCCCGGGTCATCACCCTGTCCAACATCGGGGCCCTGGGCACCGGGTTCCGGGTCCAGCTGGAGTCCGAGCCCTGCGAGCTGGAGCTGAACCAGTCGCCCGTGAGAGTGGTGAGTGTCCCGCTGCCCAGGGCACCAGGGAGAGCTGCGGGGATGCAGGGAGCCTGGGCACTGGGCTGCAGGGCGAGGCCCCAGGGCACCAGGGAGAGCAGCGGGGATGCAGGGAGGCTGGGCACTGGGCTGCAGGGCGGGGCCCCAGGGCACCAGGGAGAGCAGCAGGGATGCCAGAGGCTGGGCACTGGGCTGCAGGGGCGGGGTCCTGCTCTGAGTAGGAGACGCCTCCGTGCAGGAGTGATGGATGTGGGATTAAGGGCTCGAGCAGGTGGCAGCACTGCGGTGGCCAAGAGCTCCAGAGCCCAGCCTCCCACGTGCCCTTAAGTCCCGGTGGGGGCCTCCCCTGCCCCAAAGGCTGTGCAGATGGGCCTCCAGGGTGCCCCTGGGCGCAGGGTGTGGCTGGGGGAGGGGAGCTGCCTTTTTAAAACACTCCCCCGAGTTAGTTACACTTTTCTACAAGGAGCGCTGCCCTGGCACTGACAGTCACGGGTTCGATTCCCGGCCAAGGGCACGGACCCGGGTTGCAGGTGGGATCCCCGGCCCAGGTTGGGCACGTGTGGGAGCAACCGATCGATGTGTTTGACGTCGATGTTTCTCCCCCCCTCCCTTCCGCTCTTTGTGAAAAATCAGTGGAGAAATATCCTCGTGTGGAGTCACAAAAACACAAAAAGCGGCAGCTTCATGAGCCCCCTTTGCAGCTCTGTCCGCCTGGGGAGGGGTCTCCGCCAAGGCTCCCCAGGGGGGCGGGGAGGGATGTCCAGGCAGCGATGTGGACGCTGCTGGCAGAGGTGGGAGGCGCGGGGGGGGGGGGTGACCCCCGCCCAAGCGGGGCCCGGGATGGTGGGTGAGGGCACAAGGCCGGGCTTGCTGGGTGGGCACACGCCCCGCCCTTGGGGTGCTCCTGGGTGCCAGCTCTGTGCTCTCCGAGTGGGTGCCTGCCTACCTGGCAGCCGCTGCCCCAAGCGGTGCCCTCTCTGTCTATCTCCCTGTGGCCCTGGAGCCGCACGCAGGCACCCTGGCTCTCTGCACGCACAGCAGAGAGGGCAGGGCAGTGAGCTCCGGGTGGGAGGCAGGGGTGGGGCTGGGCCAGGAGAGGAGCCTGGCAGCCTGAGCTGGGAGGAAGGGGGAGGGGGAGGAGCACACAGTGGCCCCAGGACGGGCACCAGTGCCTGTGAGGTCCAGGAGGAGCCGGGAGGGGCGTGGTGCTGGCGGAGCAGGAGCCAGCAGCACCCGCCCCGGTCGGGCTGGGCTCCCCTGTGAGTGCGAGGCGGTGCAAAGCGCCGGCACAGGGTCTGCTCTCTTGTAGAACAGCCTCTACACCTACGACGAGAGAGGCCTGTACGAAAAAGTCCTCCCCATCGAGCAGCGGCCCGAAGGCAACGAGCCCTCCCTGATGGAGCAGGACACGATGCGCAGCCCAGGTGAGGGCGCGGACGTGCGGGGGGGGGGGGGGGGGGGGGGGGCAGGACCAGGGTGCAGCCAGCTGAGCGGGGCAGGGGGGTGGCCCCGGCAGCGCTGCAGCCCCCCTGGGATGAGCCGCCCTGCAGCCCTGTGGCGCCTCCTGGAGGAAGGTGCAGGGTTAGCCCTTGGAGACAGGAATCTGGCGATGGGAGGACAGAGTGGGCAGCAGGCTTCCGGGAGGTCCCGGCTTTAGCTCTGGCTCCTCCTGCCCAGGGGTGCGCAGCCTGGGGCGAAGGGGAGGAGGAGACGGGGGGCGGGGGGGGGGGGGTCGAGGCTCCTGCTGGGGTCGCTGGAGGCACAGCCACGTGGGCCCTGGGCTCCGTGCAGAGAGCACCTGGCACATGGCAGTTGGCGGGGCCAGCCCTGCGCTGAGGAAGGACGGGGCCCTGCAGGCGGACACGGCAGCGGCCTCCTCGCCTCCCTTCACAGTGCTTCCAGACTCAGCAGTCCCCTCCACCAGGCCACCAGACAATAGCAGGCATGGGGGGGGCTCTGAGATGGTGGGGAGCCGCTGCCCGCCTGGGCCCTGGGCGGCACCCCTGCCCCTGGCCGCAGCCCGCAGCCCGCCCTCCCCCCTGCACCAGCGTCCCTCCCAGCCGGCCATGCTCCTCAGCACACATCCTGCGGTTGGTTCGCTTGTCTTAACACAAACCCCCTCGAATCCTTGTCCCCTCCTCCTGCTGGAAGTGAACCCCAAAGGCTGGCTGGGGTGCTCTCTCCTCTCAGGCTGCTGCGCCCACCTCCCCCTCACTGGGCTGTGGGCAAAGCCGCCCCCTTCCTGCTCCCAAGGTGGGCCCCCCTTCCTGCTCCCAAGGCGGGCCCCCCTTCCTGCTCCCAAGGTGGGCCCCCCATGCTCAGAGCAGCAGGTGGTGCAGAGCAGGGCAGGATCTCACCCAGACACCAGCTCCCCGTGGCCCCCTGGCGTCAGCAGGCGGGTAGGGGTGACCGTGTCTCGGGGTAGGCACAGCTTTGCCCTCCCACTGGGCCAGTCCTCACATCTGAGGCGCCTCCTCTTCCAGAATCAGAGGATGTGAGCACCGTCCTGCACATCTTCTCCGAGGAGCAGATGGAGATCACGCTGGGAGAGGTGAGCCAGGCCCCGCCTCCTGGTCTGCTGGCCCCCCTGGGAAGGCGGCCCTTCCGCGGACCAGAGCCGCCACTGGGAGCCTGCTGGGCCAGTAAAGCAGGGCAGGGCAGGGCAGGGCAGGGAAGGGAAGGGCAGGACAGGGCAGAGCAGTGAAGGGCCAGGCTTTGTGGCAAGAAGACACCCCCGGCGCCGGTGCTGCCACCACTGGCCTCAGGGACACGCCGTGGGAGGCCTGGGCGGCTCCGTGGAACAGGAAGCCTGAGGCCCGCACGCCTCCTGCAGATCACAGAGGGCTATATCGGCCCCTTCAGCTCCATCAAAGTGCCCATCGTCTTCTCCCCGGTCACCCCCGGCACCGTCCAGAACAGGTTCCAGTTCACGTTCAAGAACCAGCAGTGCCCGACGGTGAGTGTCCTGCAGCCGTTCCGCGCACAGCTCAGCACACACGCCTCCCCGTGCGCCTGCCCCCGGCCATGCGGCAGCGCACGCCTCCCACCCTCAGGCAGCTGGTGGTGGCAGGGACAGTTGGCACCCAGAGCCAACAGTGACACATGTCCACACATGTCCATGAGCACATGCACACACATGCCTACACAGGTGTACGTCCACCTGCATGTGTGTCCACACACATATGGCCATGTGTTTGTGGGCACACAGTCACGTGCATGTGTCCACATGTGCATGTTTCCATACGCATGCATGCATGCTTGCACACACGTGTGCACATGTTCATGCATACAGCCTTTGCTCTAAATCCCTAGAAATGTCTTTCTTAATTTCCAACTAAATTTTCTTTCATTAGTTTTTATCGTTTATTTTTTACGACTATGAAAGTATGCTCAGATAATATACTGTGCAATCTCTCCTCTCTTTTTTTTTAATTTGTTAAAGTTTTCTTTGTGACCAGAGGTGAGGTTGACTGTGAAGATGATGAACAGATCTGTTGGCCGGTTACTCCCGTTCCCCGTGCCCCTCCCGCCCTTACCGTGTGGGCCTCCCCCCTCCCCCCCTCCCCCCGCATCTGCGCAGACGGCTCCTGGCACATTTGGTCCAGGCCAGGGGTGGGCAAACTTTCTGACTCGAGGGCCACAATGGGTTCCTAAACTGGACCGGAGGGCCGGAGCAAAAGCATGGATGGAGTGTTTGTGTGAACTAATACATGTTAACACCGCTGCTGGTGAAGGAGCGGAGGGGAGAGCAAGAGAACCCTCCGCTCTTTCGGCTCCGCGGGCCGATAGAACCGGGCCGGATCTGGCCCGGATCCGCGGGCCATAGTTTGCCCACGGCTGGTCCAGGGCGAGGGCCCTTGCTCACGGCCACGCGCTGTGCGTCTCAGGCCCACTCCCTCCCGCGCCGAGCTGGGCCGTGCCTGCCGTCGGGGGCGCCGCCTCCCTCTGTCCCCCCAGCACAGCCACCCTGTGATCACCGCTTTGAATCTTTTTTTAAAATATATTTTTATTGATTTCAGAGAGGAAGGGAGAGGGAAAGAGAGAGAAGCATCCATGATGAGAGAGGATCATTGATCGGCTGCCTCCTGCACACCCCACACTGGGGATGGAGCCCACAGCCCGGGCCTGTGCCCTGACGGGGAATCGAACCCCGACCTCCTGGTTCCTAGGCCGACGCTCGACCACTGAGCCCCCCGGCCGGGCTGTTTGCAAATCCTTATAGTAGAGAATGTTCTTAATTCCACGCTGAGAAGTGCCCTGGACCCCAGGCAGGGCCCGTGCAGCCTGTCCCGCGTCGGCCGGCCGGTCGGCGCCCGCTGCCCGCAGCCCCGTGTTCAGTTCTCTCTTCCCATCTAGTTACACTTCCGAGCCATCGGTGTGGCGGTGGACGTGCCGGTCTGGGTGCCCAAGTCCATCGTGGACCTAAAGATATGCATGTTCGACCGGCTGTACCAGGACACCATCCAGGTCCACACGCGGTGAGCGTGCGTCTGGGCTCGGGCCGGCTGGGCGGCGAGAAGCATGAGGAGGCTCCTGGAAGCCCTTCCAGGGCCCAGGGTTCCCAGGACCAGGTCACAGGGCCCGCCCAGCGGGACCCCCCTTCCTGTAGCTGAGAGGCCTGTGGGTGAGCGGGGAGGGCGGCCCTGGGGAGCGGGGGCTCCAGGAACCAGCCGTGATGGGGGCACGGCGTCAGGAAGCCCTCGTGGTGTTTTCATTCAGGAGAATTCTCACCTGACGTCGGGGCGGGAAGGCGAGCCCTTAGAGGCAGGGCTGGGAGACCCTGGCTGTGACGTCAAGGCGCAGCTTGGCGTGGGAGTGCCGAGCGCCCTGGGGCGGGTGGTGAGAGCTGACAGGCTCAGCGGGCACTGAGCCACACGGTCCCGGCCCCCCTCCTGCGGCAGGTCGAAGGCGGCCCTGCGTCTGAAGTTCGAGGTGTGCAAGGAGCTCAGGGGCCACATGGAGCTCCTGCCAGAGACGGGCTACATCCAGGCCCTGTCGACCTACTCGGTGCAGCTCAAGTTCCTGCCGCGGTGAGCGCCGGGCACGGGCCGGCTGGGTGGGGTCCCAGGCGGAGACCGGCAGGCGGTGCCGGGGTAGCTCCGCACCCTGTATTTCCCGCCTCCCGTAGTTCCTGCTGATTTACTCACTTTACTCTGGAGAGGGCAGGGCAGAGCGGTTTGTTGTCGCCTTATGGATGCGTTCACTGGCTGCTGCTTGTCTATGCCCGACCGGGCCCAAATCTGCACCCTGGCCAAAGCCGGTTTGGCTCAGTGGATAGAGCGTCGGCCTGCGGACTGAAGGGTCCCAGGTTCGATTCCGGTCAAGGGCATGTGCCTGGGTTGCGAGCACATCCCCAGTGGGAGATGTGCAGGAGGCAGCTGATCGATGTTTCTCTCTCATCGATGTTTCTAACTCTCTATCTCTCTCCCTTCCTCTCTGTAAAGAGTCAATAAAATATATTAAAAAAAAAAAAAAACCTGCACCCTGGCGTATGGGGATGATGCTCTAACCAGCTGAGCTACCAGCCAGGGCTAATTGCAGGAATTAAAAGCACCACCAGATTAAAAATACATATATATATAGAAATATTTAAATAAAAAATAAATCAGCCTGCGGACTGAAGGGTCCTGGGTTCGATTCCCAGTCGGGACACAGGCCCGGGTTTGGGGGGTGTGCAGGCGGCAGCCAATTGATGATTCTCTCTCCCTCTCCCTCCCTCTCTGACATCAATCACACACACACACACACACACACACACACACACACGTGTGTGCACCTCTCAGGTCAGTTTCACTGGCGTTTCCCAAAATATAAACGAGAGAAGCACATGCGAGCGGCGCCGTCTCTCGCAGACACACGCTCCCGGAGGACGCAGGCAAGTACTTCGACCGGGAGAGCCGGATTCTGGAGGCCCCGCTGACCATCCGCGTGGCTGACCAGGTCTGGGGGGCCTCCCTGGTGTTTGGGAAGCAGGGGCTGCTCTGGGAGTTGCGCCCCGGCAGGTTTCCAGTCGCCAGGCCTCACAAGGCGGCCCCTGCCGGGGAGAGGCAGGTGGGGAGTGTGGGTCAGCGGGGCTGGGAGCTCCCCAGGCTGCGGGTGGTCCCAGCACCCAGACCCCATGTGCCACACACTCACACACCTGCTCACACTCACCACCCACCACTGACCTCACACCAGACCACAGTGCGCGGGCATGCGCATCCTCAGGACACGCACACATGTGTTCACTCCCGCGTCTCCCATTGGCACCTCTGTTACAGCAGCATCCACGTCCTTGCAGGTTGGGTGGCAGAAGAGGGGATTCTCTGAAGGGCGAGCCGTGTCCGTGAGGGCCCCGCGGCCGCAGAGAGACTCCTGGTGGCCCGTGACTGGCATGTGCTGGCCCTTTGTCCGTCAGGTCAAGCCCATCGAGTTCACCGTCCACGCCACCGTCACCACCTCGGACCTGGAGCTCAGCCCCTTGGAGGTGGACTTCGGCTACTGCACCATCTACGAGGCCGTCAGGACCCCGGTCAGCGTCTGCAACCTCTCCCTCCTGCCCCAGGAGTTTGGGTTCGTCGGGGTCCCCAAGGTACGTCACGTGGGCAGGGCGGGCGGGCGTGGGGGCAGGGACTGAATCAGGAAGCTCTGGGCACAAGTCAGGTGACTGCTGACCCAGAGTCCAAGCCGCCTCCCCCTCCCTGCCCTCCACGCCTCCCTCCCCACTCTTCTGCCCAGCTCTCTCTGCTCGTCCCTCTCTCCGTCCCCCTGCCCGTAGCTGCCTCACCCTGCCTTTCTCCATCCCCCCTCGCTCTCCTTCTCTGGCCGCTGCCCCCACAGACTCCAGATCCTCTGCCTCCCTTCCTGCCAGACGAGGCCTCTCCCTGGCTGCCCGTCCTCTCCTGGAGCTGCCCCTCTGTAGACCTCACCATCCATCACACTACACACATGTGCTCACATGCACACAGACACTCACATGCACACTCACAGCATGTGCTCACATGCAGACCCTCACATGCACACTCACAAACGTGCTCACATGCAACACTCACATACATGCTCACAAGCATGTGCTCAATGCTCAAATACACACGCACAACATGTGCTCACATGCATGCAGACGCATGCACAGGCATGCATATACTCACAGGCCTGCGGACACACATGCAGACACTCACATGTGCACAGAGACACATGCGCTCACATGCACACAGCCATGCTCACACACTAACACGGGCATCTGCGTGCACGTCACTGCCGCACCAGCCCGTGTGCCGCAGTCCCCGTGACGCGCCCGCAGACGCTGTGTGTTCTCCCTGGTGCCCGTGGTTCCTGTGCAGTTTGTGGACATCCAGCCCAACGACGGCTTCGGGACGATCCTGCCCCTCGAGACCGTGGAGCTCGACCTCATCTTCCAGCCCACAAAGGCCAAGGAGTACAACTTCGAGCTCGTCTGCAAGTCGGAGATCAACCGGTGAGTGGGGGGGGGTTGTGAGGGGCTGGCTGTGGGCTCCTCAGACCTGGCACAGAGCCTGGGGCCTTTGAGGGTAAGTGTGGGTGTGCATGTGTGGACGTGTGTGCGTGGTGTGCCTGATGCATGTGAGTGTAGCCACATGTGAGTTCACATGACTGTGCACATGCGGGCATATGCCTGAGTGTACGTGTGTATATGTGTGTGGTGGGCATGTGTGAGTTTGTGTGAGTATGTGGGCGTGTGTGAGCTCCGTGTGGCTGGGGCATGTGTGGACACGTGTGGAGGTGTGCATGTGTGAGACCGTGTGGGTGCACATGAACACACATGTGGGCCTGACGGAGGACCTGAGTGAGAGGCAGATGACCCCGAACCCTGCGGGAGACGTGCTGCGTGTGAGCTCGTGGCGCGTGAAGAGAGGCGCTCACGGGTGAGTGGCGCCGGGGAGCACCCTGTCCCGCGGGAGGAACGAGGCCGCACGCCCGTCACGGGGACCTGGGCCAGCGGGGCCGGCAGCCCGGCCGCCTGCCTGGAGGAGAGCGTGTCCGCGCAGCGCTCCGCCGTCGCTGTGCCGCTCAGCTGCCTGCGTCGGAATACGAGCCGCGGGCGGTGGAGCGTGGGCATCAGAGTCCACGGGCAGTGTCTCCGTGCGTGGCACGGCCGTCAGCGCGAGGGTGACAGGCAGCAGCATCGCCCCGCACGGCGTCCAGTGCCTGCAGTCGGGTGGAGCAGCCGCTGCGGGCCCCGCGCAGAGCAAGTGCGGACGGAGCTCCCAGGTGAACCGTGTCCGTTCCTCTGCGACGCCGGGGGCAGGTCGCTTGCTGTGCCGTCGGGTCCCGGGGCTGATACCCGAGGAGCAGTTCTGTCTTATTTTCTCTAATGTCAGTGAACGTTTCACCAAATAAGCCAGCAATTGCTCCTTAGCAGCCGTTCGGCCTTGTGACTAACATGTTAACTGTCCACTAAGCTGTGCCCAGAGCCCTGCCACGTAGCCCGGCTGGTTAGAGCTTCTTCCCGAAACGCCGGGGGGGGCGGGGGGTGGTCAATCCCTGGTCAGGGCACAGACGAGAACCAACCAGCGAGTCCATCGCTGAGGGAGGCGCAGATGCTGCCTCTCCGTGTGTGAGCCGGGGGGGGGGGGGGGAGCACAGGGCCGCACAGCAGCTTCGAAGTGCATTGCAGTCAACGGCGGGTTCGTGAGCCAAGCCTGTGACACTGTCGTCCTGGGCGCCCGGTGCCGAGCCACCCGCACCCAGAGCCCTGGCCAGGCCGCAGAGGGACCCGCCTAGCCACCCGCACCCAGAGCCGCCTGGCCAGGCCGCAGAGGGACCCGCCGAGCCACCCGCACCCAGAGCCGCCTGGCCAGGCCGCAGAGGGGCCCGCGCAGCCACCCACACCCACCCGCACCCAGAGCCGCCTGGCCAGGCCGCAGAGGGACCCACCGCAGCAGGTGCCCAGCTGACCCGTCCCCCCGGCCGCTTGCAGGTGCTTCAAGATGACGTGCCGGGCTGTGGGCGTCCACCCACCCCTGCAGCTGTCCCACTACCAGGTCAAGTTTGCAGCCACCGCCCTGTACGACATGTCGGTGGCCGCCCTCCACGTGATCAACGCCCACGTGAGCATGAACTCACTGACGCACTCCGTGCCCCGCATCGGCTCCGAGGACGCCTGCCCCGTGGGGCCCACGTCCTTCCAGTTCCTGCTGCCCCCCGACTCACCCATCACCATCTCGCCCTCAGTGGGGACGGTGTTGCCAGGAAAGGTGGGTGTGGGCCTGCGGGGGGGGCTGGCACCACAGCCTGGCTCAGCCCACCTGACGCAACAGGCATGGGGTCCACTCTGCCCCTCCTGCAACCCAGGCCGGTCAGGGGCCTCTGTGGCCAGCGAGCTCAGCCAGGGAGAGGCCAGCCCTGCCGGGCAGGGGCACCACGCTGTCCCCCAGGCACTGGGCTGGGCTCGGGCAGTGCAGCCAGGGGGGCACAGAGGCCTGGTCACCAGGAGCACAGGTGTCTGTCTGTCCACTGGGTTGGTCCGGGGTTCCCGGACTCCGCTTTTCCCAGTAAAGCAGAGAGCCCGCCCCCAGGACCTCAGAGAGCGAGGGGGACTGTGGAGAGGACTGTGTGAGGGGCACGGGGGCGGGGGGGGGGGTGGCGGGAACCCCCGGGTTCCAGTAAGTAGGGTTATGTAAAAGGCATTGCGTTAACTGCACATACTGCTTACGGAACGGCCTGCAAAGGGTTATTACGGGGGCCCCTCTCCGTCCCCCTCTCCATCCCCCTCTCCCTTTCCCTTCCCTCCCTGTCTCCCCCTCTCTCCCCTGCCTCCCCCTCTCTCCCCTGTCTCTTCCTCTCTCCCCTGCCTCCCCCTCTCTCCCTCTCTCTCTCATCCCCCACACGTCACACTCCTGCCTGACACGCGTCGCGCACCTTTGCTGTGCGGCCCAGGGAGCCCACTGAGCTGTGGAAAGCCGGCTGTGCTGGTCGTGGGCAGGTCAGGGTGCAGGAACTCACCCCCGCATCTCAGAGGCTGAGAACAAAGTTTCCTTCCTCATTCATGTCGTGGGAGGTGGGCCGGGTCCTGGCCCACCGGGCTGCCTTCACGGACCCCGACCCACATGGGCAGAGTGGGCTTGGGGATCATGCCCAGCAGCCCACCCTGCCTTCCAGGAGGGAGTGGTCAGGGAGGCCTTCCCGGAAGGGGCGTGCTGCACTGAAATCCCAAGGAGAGTCACACGCAGGACCTTGGAGGGGAGCCAGGGAGCGGGGGACAGCGGGTGCAAGGCGGGCAGTGGGTGCTGGGACGGGCAGGGTGCCCTCAGGGCCGGCTCTGCCCTCGACCCTCTCCCCCCAGAAATGCCTGGTCCAGGTGACCTTCCGGCCCGTGCTGTCCAACGAACTGATCCGCCAGCAAGCCATCCGTGCCCAGGCTAAAGACGGGGAGGTCAAAGTGCGCGGGGCTCTGAGAGGCGGGCGTGGGGCGCAGGCTCTACAAGGACCACCCCTTCCCTCGAGGCCCTTGGCCAGGCCCCAGGCCAGGAGCGTGGGCAGATGTTTGCTGTTTCCAGGGGCTACCACTTCTCCTTGGGCGACCCCTCCCTCCTCCCTGGAGAGCACCCCCTGAGGGCGGACCCCAGAGGTGGCTTCGGAGCAGGGGGGCCTCCCCTCCCTGAGTCTGACCAGAGGGAGGACTGGACACAGCAGAGGAGCAGGGCCCACAGGCAGCCTCTGACCCGGCGAGGGGCGCGGACCGTCTGAGCGTGACCCTGAGAGAGGGGACGCCCCCAGGGCACGGGCAGGGCCAGGCCGCCCAGACCTGCAGGGGCAGGAGGGCCGGCCGAGGCCTGGAGGACTGTGTGCACTGCCCAGTGCTCTGCCCTCCTGGTGCCTCGTCGCCTGGGCACAGGGAGGTCGGCTCCTCCGGACACTCACTTGTCCTTGTGGCTCCAGCCCCTGCCCCGTCTTCCTGAGGGAGCCACTCGGGGTGTGGGCGCGTCCTCTGCACAGCCATGCCCCCCACCCCCACCCCAGCCCTGCTCCAGCCCTGGCCGCCCGAGGGTGGGGCAGCCCCTCAGCCGGCCTTTTGCCTCACAGTCCCACAAGGAGGCGGTCACGCCCCGGAGGGACCGGAGGCGGGTGTCCATGTCCCTACTGCGGATGCACAGCCGGGAGCGCCCCTCCCGGGCCTCCGCCTCCCGCGCCGCCCCCCCGCCGCAGAAGCAGCAGGAGATCAAGATCAGGTGGGCATGAGCGCAGGCCCCCCCCTTCCCTCCAGGCCCCTGCGAGGGGACCCCGCGCTGCCCCAGCCTCCCCACAGACCCCTACCCTGGAAGTCCCGGCTGCATCCAGGCCCTGCCTCGGCCCCAGGCGCTCCCTCCCTGGGTGTGGGCTGCCCAGGCCCCAGAGCTGGTCCCTGTGAACAGTCTCCCTCCACGGCCCCCACATCCCAGCTCAGCAACCCCCCCCCACCCGCCTACCCGGGTCCAGAGTGAGCCCCAGAGAGCCCAGCGGGCCCTGGCTCGCCTGCCGGCCTGGGCCTTTGCCTCCGGCTCCAGGAACCTGCTCTCTGGCCAGGCTCCTGAGCAGGACTTGGGGTCAGGGGCGGCCCCACAGGGATCAGGGAAGGTGAGAGGTCAGCTGGTCTGACGACCGGCACAGCCCGTGTGGCCCCCACGGGGCCCGGGCCCTGAAGAGCAGGCGCTGTGTGGACCATCTGGGGAGGGAGGGGGTGGGGGCCAGGTGGGCACGGGCGCAGGTGCCACTGGCTGGCCTTGTTCCAGCTCCGAGGAGTACCAGGTGGCCCGGGCCACCCTGGCCAGGACGTTCCAGGGGAGGTTTGACAAGATCGTGGTCCCCTGTGTCGTTGCCAGTGGCGACATCCAAGACAGGAAGGGGACGGAGCCCCTGAGCTTCAGGTGCGGGGCGCTGGCCTGGGCGGGGGTGGCCGGTCAAAGGTCACTCTCCCTCTTCTGCTCCGACCCAGGCCCAGGTCCGGTGGACCAGGGCCAGGGCCAGGGGGTGGGGCCAGGGCTGGGGTCGGACTGGGGGCCTGGGCACAGGGCCTTCAGACGCCCTGCCTGCCTGCCCAGCCCCCACAACACCCTGTTCCTGGAGCTGTGGTGCCCGGCAGTGGCCCCGTCCATCATCGTGACGTCTGACAAAGGGCACACCATCTCCAACTTCGGTGACGTGGCTGTAGGTGAGTCCTCATTGGGCCCAGCCCTCCCCCCCCCACCAGGAACCCAGGCCCTGCTGGGGTCCCCGAAGGTGTGGATGGAGTCGGAGAAGAAGGAATGACACGGAGACAGCGTTCAGTTGATCAGCAGCCTAGCCAGGATCTCTAGCCAGGATCTCCAGCCAAGTTCTGGTCTGGATCTCCAGCGAAGTTCTGGTTAGGTTCTCCAGCCAGGTTCTGTGTCCATGTTCTCTTGCTAGGTTCTCCAGCCAGGTTCTCCAGGTTCTTCAGCCAGGTTCTGGTCTGGATCTCCAGCGAAGTTCTGGTTAGGTTCTCCAGCCAGGTTCTGTGTCCATGTTCCCTTGCTAGGTTCTCCAGCCAGGTTCTGTCCAGGTTCTCTAGCCAGGTTCAGTCACCAGGTTCTAGTCAGGTTCTCTTGCCATGTTCTATCCAGGTTCTGTAGGTTCTCCAGCCAAGTTCGGTCGCCAGATTCTGTAGCCAGGTTCTTCAGCCAGGTTCTGTCTAGGTTCTCCAACCAAGTTCTGTAGCCAGGTTCTGTCCAGGATCTTTTGCCATGTCCTCTCGCTAGGTTCTGTCTAGTTTCTGTGTCTAGGTTCTGTGTCCTGTTGTCTTGTTACATCTGTATTTATACCAGTTGATTCCAATCCTATCAATCTCTATTCCAAAGGTTAGGGCGTTTCTTATCTCCATTCCAGGGAGTAAAGATTAGGTAGCTTAAGCATGATTGTTCATAATTAAAGTGATTAATTACCCGCCTGGCACTTAGTTAAGGGGTTTTATTCCCTCCCTAACTTCAGGGGAAAATCCCTACCTGGGGAAACAACCTTTCTCAGAGAGGTGGCCTTGGTTAAAACACATAGTGCCAAGAAGGTGAGCAAACATATTAAGAACAGTATGCCATATATGCCAGGTCCCTTGAAACAGCAAGGATGGACCGGCTCCCGGCAAGGCCCCCAGGAGCCACCTAGCCCCCAGGAACTACCTGGCCCCCAGGAACCTAGCCCCCCAGGAACCACCTGGCCCCCAGGAACCCAGGCCCCCAGGAACCACCTGGCCCCCAGGAACCCTGGCCCCCAGGAACCCAGGCCTCCAGGAAACACCTGGCCCCCAGGAACCCAGGCCCCCAGGAACCACCTGGCCCCGTTCCAGGTCACCGGAGCATCAAGAAGGTGAACATCCAGAACATCTCCTCCGAGGACCTGGCCGTATCCTTGTCCGCGCTCAGCGCGGGCCTGCGGGGGTGGGAGGGGGGCCTGTGGGGGTGGGAGGGGGGGCTTCGGGGGGTGGGAGGGGGGCCTGTGGGGGTAGGAGAGAGGGGCCTGGGGGTGGGAGGGGGGCTGCACCTGGCCTCTGGCCCCCCCTTGACTCTGGGCCCTCAGGTGGACTTCTCTGTACTGAACCCCAATGGCCCCTTCCACCTGCTGAACCCCATCAGCAAGCTGCCTGCAGGGGACACCCAGGACCTGGTGCTGTCCTTCTCCCCCCATGAGAGCAGCCTGGTGAGTCCTGGCCGCCCCCCGCCCACTCCCACACCCCATTGCGCCGCCCACTCTGTGCCCAGGCCTGCAGCTGCCCACTGGGCTCCAGGGCCAGCCAGTCCCTTGGCCCCGCTTTCCCCGGCAGCGACCAGGGCGGTCAGAGCAGCCTCGGCTCCTGCACAGGTCGCCCGCCTCCACAATGGAGCCCTGTGAGCACCCTGGGGCCCGGTGTCCACCCTGCACTGAGGGGCCCGGTGTCCGCTCTGAGCTGAGGGGCCGGGTGTCCGCTCTGAGCTGAGGGGCCGGGTGTCCGCTCTGAGCTGAGGGGCCGGGTGTCCGCTCTGAGCTGAGGGGCCGGGTGTCCGCTCTGAGCTGAGGGGCCGGGTGTCCGCCCCGCGCTGAGGGGCCCGGTGTCCGCAGGCCCAGGAGACGCTGGACATCATCACCAAGAGGGGCACCCTCACCCTGACCCTCCTGGGCACCGGCGTGGCCTCCATGATCACGTGCTCCATCGCAGGGGACGTCCTGAACATGGGCTACGTGATCGCCAGGGAGTCCGTCTCCTCCACCTTCAAGGTGCCCGCCCCGCCCTGGCCCCACCTCCATGCCCGTAGCCTCTGGCCTCCGCCCGCTCGGTCCTCCCACGTCGGTGCCTCTGCCAGGCGGCCCCCTGGGGCACTAGGGGGTGCGGGGGGGGGGGGAGGTGGGGGGCAGCTCACAGGCCGCCCTGGGGCCCCGCAGCTGCAGAACAACTCCTCGCTGCCCATCAAGTTCTCCGTGCGGCTGGCCAGCCTCTCCGGCTCCCGCCACGAGGAGCTGCAGCAGCTGCCGCGGTTCCTCACCGCGCGCGCCAAGAGGACCGAGGTCGTGGGTGAGCTGCCGGGGCCACGGTGGGGCCCGGGGGGGCGGGGCGTGTGGGGGCGGGGGCGGGGCGTGCGACGGCCACGCCCTCCACCACCACCACCACCTCCCCCCCCCGCCCCCCCGCAGGCACCCAGAACCACAGCGGGCAGAGCGTGTTCAGCGTGGTCCCGGTGTCGGGCGTCATGGACCCGGGCGCCTCGCAGGACTTCACCGTGACCTTCAGCCCCGACCACGAGAGCCTGTACTTCTCGGACCGGCTGCAGGTCCTGCTCTTCGACAAGGTGCGCGCCTGGCCCGTCCTCGCTCCGGCCTCCGGCCCCCGCGCGGCCCCACTGGGGGGCGGGGGGTGTCCGGTGGAGAGCCCCCGCGCGAGGCGGCCGCTGTGCTCTGTCCCAGAAAGTCTCCCATGACTTCCTGCTGCGCGGCGCGGCCCGCGAGCACATGATGTTCGTGGAGGGCGGAGACCCCCTGGACGTGCCCGTGGAGTCGCTGACGACGATCCCCGCCGCCAGCTCGGAGCGCCGGGAGGGTGAGCCTCCGAGGGCCCCTCCGCCCGCCGGGGGGCCTGCTCCGCGGAGGAGGGCTCCCCCTCGGCCCCCAACCGGCTCCTCCATCCCAGAACCTGAAGAGCTGAGGCCCATCCTGGTGACCCTGGACTACGTGCAGCTGGACACGGACACGCCGGCCCCCCCTGCCACCCGCGAGCTGCAGGTGGGCTGCATCCGGACCACCCAGCTGTCCGCCAAGAAGGTGACCCCCCCAGGACCCGGGCTGGGCAGCCCAGCCCTTGTGACCTCGCCCTGCACGGGTGGGAGGGCGCCTGCGGGCCAGGCTGGGCGGGCGGGTGGAGCTGGGCGCCCTCGAAGGAGCCCTGCCTGCCGGCGCCAGCAGCCCCGTTGCCCGCAGACGGTGGAGTTCAGCCTGGACAGCCTGGCGGCCCTGCAGCACAAGGGCTTCTCCATCGAGCCGGCCAAGGGCTCCGTGGAGCGCGGCCAGACCCGGACCCTCAGCATCTCCTGGGCGCCGCCCGCCGACTTCGATGTAGGTGCTTCCGACCGGGGAGCCCAGGGAGGGGCTGCAGGGTGGGCCTGGGCGGTGAGGCGGGCGGGGCAGCCGTCCGCAGGCTGCTGTCCCTTCCCCCTCTCATTCCAGCCCGACCACCCCCTCATGGCGTCCGCCCTGCTGCAGCTCAGGGGCGACGTGAAGGAGACCTACAAGGTCTTCTTTGTGGCCCAGGTGCTGGCCGGTCCCTGAAGCCACAGGGCTCTCTCCGCGGAGCCCCCTAGACCCTCCTGCCCACCCTCGTGGCCCTCCCGGTCTGTGGTCCAGACCAGACCACCCACAGGCCTGGGAGCTGGCACCCCCTGCTGGGCAGCCCTCTGTGTGACCCCACGTTCTGGCCACCCAGCCCCACAGTGCGGCTCCCTGCAGCCCACTCGGAACCAGCAGCTGGGCCAATCCTGGCACAGCCTGCTCCAGCCTGAGCCCTCAGCCCCCAGCCCGCTCACACCTGCCCCGTGGGAGGCAGGTCTGTCAATAAACCTTCCATGTGACCCTGTGTGCAGGTGTGGGGGGGGGCGACAGCGCGCACATGAGCACAGCGTGGGGCAGGGGGACAGCCCTGGGGAGGCAGCCCCGCCCACCACCACAGACAGGGCAGCCCACAAGTCCTGAGGTCCCCCGGCTCCCAGGGGCCTCAGGGGGGCCTCCTGGAAGGTGGTGCCTGGAGCCCTTAGGGGACAACCGGCCGGCAGGGCTGGGCAGGAGGTCAGACTGGCCAGGACCCAGAGAGGCCCAGGGGGAGCAGGAAGGGGAGGAGACTCCAAAGCCCCGGGAGGGGGGTTGGGGGGACTTAGCTTAGCCTCCTCTGCTCCTCACCAGATCCTGGATCCCAGATGACCCCAAGCAAGGAGGGAGCTAATGTGGGGGACACCCAGCCAGGGCCCGGGGGTGCCAGCGCATGAGTTGGGTTCTCTTTTCTGAACTGAGTCCAGACTCAGCCTCCGGGAACCACTGGCCCGTTCAAAGTGGAAGCCGCCCCCCAACCCTGGCCCAGGAGAGGTACCTGGGAGCTCCAGATGGTGCCTGCAGCCCAGCACCGTGCCGGGCACCAGGAGGGCACTGCAGCCTTTCCTGGCAGAGGCTCAGGGCGCCAGGCTGGAGCCACGTCCTCGCCCGGTCCTTGGTGTCCTTAGGCCTGGAGGCCTGCCACCTCCCTCACCCAAGCTAGAGACAGTGGCCCTAGAGCAACACTTTGCAGGACTCCTGTCCAGTGGGCAGAACCAGGTTTCTTCCTACCCGCACGGGGCTGACCAGCTGGAGCCCAAGCTGCCTCCTCAGCCAGCGGACAGAGGGGAAGGGGGGGCGCGAGGGGGGTCCTGCAGGCCCAGCCCGGCCCCAGGAGGTTCGCCCTGCAGGTGGATTCCTGCTGCCTCCTAGGGCGCCCGCAAGAGGGGCAGGCCGCTCTCCTGAAGCCTGGTGTGGCCCTCCTGCTGGGGCCCTGGAACTCAGTGCCAAGGCCCTGCCTGAGCCCCATGGGCCTGGAAGGCAGTGCGGCAGGAGGGAGGAGGGCGAGGGGCAGCCTGGCGGGAGGGGCCCTGGGGGCTGCATTACAGCTGGGGTTCGGCAGAGGTCGGAGATCGAGATCGAGGGGTAGTGCCTGGCAGATCCTGGCAGGAGGGAGCCGGACGAGGCCCTGCCCAAGGGGGTGTACTGAGTGCAGTGATGGGCAGGCAGGAAGCTGCTCCGCACTTGCTGCCACCTGCGCCTGGTCACCAGATGGGGGAGCAAGGGGCACAGTGAGCCTAAGGGGCCTCACTTGGTGGGCAGGGTGAGAACTAGGGGGACCTCCTGGAAGGGATGACCCAGCCTTCCCAGCTGACTGGATAGCGGGCACTCCAGGCCCAGACTGAGCATGGCTTTCAGGCAAAATGCCCCTGGAGGGCGGTCGCCCACAGCAGGGCCTACCCCAGGCCAGCCTCATGCGCCTGCAGGGCGCTGTGGGTGGCCTCCTTTGTCCTGGGTGCCACCCCCACTGGCTGCAACTCCCCAGCCCAACGGCAGGGCAGGCTGAGGGCTCCGCACCTGAGCCGAGAGCGAGACCACCCCCAAACCCTGAGACCGGCCCTCAAATCCTGAGACCACCTCCAAACCCCGAGACCACCCCCAAACCCCGAGACCACCCCCAAACCCCGAGACCACCCCCAAACCCTGCGACCGGCCCCCAAATCCTGAGGCCACCCCCAAACCCTGAGACCACCCCCAAACCCCGAGACCATCCCCAAACCCTGAGACCGGCCCCCAAATCTTGAGACCGGCCCCCAAACCCCGAGACCACCCCCAAACCCTGAGATCACAGGATGCCAGACGGTCGGGGGGCGAGCGCATCAACTCGCCGAGGGCGGTCCTTAGGGCTGGAGTCGGGGCGTGGTCACGGGGCCCTGGGTGGGGCGGGGGGCGGGGCCACACGTCGGGGCGGGGCCTGCGCGGGGCGGGGCCTCATATAGCGGCGGGCGGCCCAGCCTGCGCTCCGCGTCCGCGCCCAGTATGCTCGCCGGGGCGCCGGCCGCCCGCGGGCTCCTGCGGCTGCTGCTGCCGCTCCTGCCGCTGCCGCAGGTGGGTCGCTGGGCTGCGCGGGGCTGGGCTCCGCGGGCGGGTCTGCGCGCCGCGCCGAGCCCAGCTCACCCCTGTCCCCGCAGGTGACGCCGGGCTCCTCGGCCGGCAGCTGCGACCCCTCGGACCAGTAAGTGCAGGGGCGGCGCGGGGCAGCGGCCCGGCCCCCGTGGGGGAGGCTGGGCGGCGCGCTGACCGCAGGTGCCCGTCCCGCAGGTGCCCGCCCCCCGCCCGCTGGAGCAGCCTGTGGCACGTGGGGTAAGTGGAGGCCGGGCGCGCCGCCGGCCCGACGGTCTCCCCGGGCCAAGCGCGCCAGGTCCCGGCTCCGGCGCAGGGCAGTCGCCGGCGCTGTCCCCGCCCGGCGCCGGCGGTCAGACGCGGGGCCTCCGCAGCCCTGAAGGCTGAGCAGCCTCCGGCCCCCAGCGCCCGGGTCGCTCTCCCTGGGGTCCTGCCCCGGCCCCGCCCAGCGTCCGGGACACTCAGCTCCGCCGGCTCGCCCGGCCCACTGCCTGCCTCCCCTCCTGGGAAGGCCCCTGGAACATGGTCGCCGGCCTGGGCACTGGATCGTGCAGGCGGCCCAGGACAGCGTGTCCTGGGAGTGAGCCCAAGGCCACTTGTGGAGCCTGGAGGCAGCCAGGCCAGCGCTGGACGCAGCCCTGCTGTCGCCAGGAGGAGGTGTCCGGCCTGGAGAGAGAGTCTGTCTGTCTGTCTGTGTGTTTTTAATGATATAGATTTTTTAATGCTTTTAAAATGTCTTTATTTATGAGAGGAAGGGAGAGGGAGAGAGAAACATTAATGATGAGCATCATGGATGGGCTGCCTCCTGCACGCCCCACACTGGGGATCGAGCCTGCGACCCGGAAATCGGACCCCTGACCTCCTGGTTCATAGGTTGATGCCCAACCCCTGAGCCACCCTGGCCGGGCTCTGGTCTCCTTTCCCCGTCCACTTTCCTGCCTCACGTGGTGGGCCATCGGGAAGCAGGTGCCTGCGCAGGTGCGTCCAGCGGCAGGGTCTCGCTCCCCTGCCCAGGCTCGTCCTGCTCGCCGTCCTGCTGCTGCTGCTGTGTGGGGTCGCGGCCAGCTGCGTGCGCTTCTGCTGCCTCCGCAAGCGGGCCCACGCCCAGCCCCTGCCCACGGCTCCTCAGCCCTGCGACCTGACGCTCTTCCCTGGGGACAGCGACAGCCCCGCGCACAGCACTGTGACCTGTGAGTGCCCACACCTCCCCAGGGCCCCTGCCTGCTGGGGGTGGGCGGGCGAGGGCCAGCCCCAGCCCACAGACGCACTCTGGTTCCCCGTAGCCTACAGCTCCGTGCAGTACCCGCTGGGCATGCGGCTGCCCCTGCCCTTCCCGGAGCTGGACCTGGACGCCATGACCCCTCCCGCCTACAGCCCCATCTACACCCTGGAGCTGCCTCCCTCCTACGACGAGGCTGTCAGGATGGCCAAACCCGGACAGGAAGAGCCACCTCCTCCGTAGCCTCGCCCCCTCCCCGGGGCCTCAGCCCGGGGACCCCCGAAGAGCGGGGAGCTGAGCCTTCAAGCCCAGCCACCGCCCCCCCCCCCCCCCAGCTGTCACCCTGGTGTCTCTCCAAGGGGGTGGGGAAGGTCTCCCGATGCCACCAGCCACACTGTGCTCCCAGGAGACCCCCAGCCACCCTCCCCATCCTTCCCCCGGGAAGGCCAGACGTCCAGCACATTGCTGCAGCCCTGGCCTCGTTGCTATGCAACGCCAGGCAGACACACACACACACACACACACACACACACACATGTTGCTACATCCAGCCCCAGCCCCTGGCCCAGGCCCAGCAGGCCCTCTGCCCAGAGGAAGTCCCACAGTTCTGAGCCTCCACAGCGTTTTGGAGAATAAAGTTTGTATCTGAGTGGCCTCTGCCTGCAGGAAAGGGCTTGCTCCGGGAGGGCTCTCGGGCGCCCCCCACCCTGGCAGGTGGACAGGGTGAGTGCTTGGGCTCGACCTGCACCAGCCTCACCTTCGGGCTGCAGCTATGGGTGGGATCAGATATCACAGCAGGTGCTGGGCTGTGCGCCCTGGCTGCCTCTGGGAAACCCTCCCCCTTTCCAGACCCACATCTGTGCCAGGCTGGGGCGGGGGAGCCACAGGAGTCTTGCGGGCGCGTTTATTGGCTACTTTTCTGGGGTGGGTGGGGCAGGTGGGTGAGCAGGGGCAGGTGGGTGGATGGGATTGGGTGGGGCAGGGCGTGGCAGGTGGGTGGGGCTGGGAGGGTAGCGGCTCCTGGTCCGGCAGGCCTCCCAAGGCCCAGCAGCGGCTCCTACTGGACCAGCTTGAAGGACTCTCCGGTCATCATGTCCACGAACTCTGGCAGCAGAGGGACAGGTCAGTGCCCAGCCTGCCCGGCTGTGGGCTCCCAGCCCCCCCCCCCCCGTCCCCCCTCACCCTCGTAGTCGATGGTCCCGTCCCCGTTCTTGTCGGCCTCCTTCATCATCTGCTCCGCCTCCACCTCATTGAGGGGCTCGCCCGCATTCGTGAGCACATACCTGCAGGCCCCCCAGACCCCCGGCCCTGAGTGGCAGCCGGCAGGCAGCGCCCCGCCCACCGCCAGCCCTGAGTGGCAGCCGGCAGGCAGCGCCCCGCCCACCCCCAGCCCTGAGTGGCAGCCGGCAGGCAGCGCCCCGCCCACCCCCAGCCCTGAGTGGCAGCCGGCAGGCAGCGCCCCGCCCACCCCCAGCCCTGAGTGGCAGCCGGCAGGCAGCGCCCCGCCCACCCCAGCCCTGAGTGGCAGCCGGCAGGCAGCGCCCCGCCCACCCCAGCCCTGAGTGGCAGCCGGCAGGCAGCGCCCCGCCCACCCCCAGCCCGGCCCTACTTGAGCGTGTCCCAGTCGATGTAGCCCTTGCCCTCCTTGTCGAAGACCTGGAAGGCGGCCCGCAGCTCCCCCTCCTGGTTCTGGGCCTTCTCCCAGTAGATGCCCATCAGCGCCAGGAACCCGTCGCAGTTGAAGAAGCCTTTGTCTGCAGGGGGGGGGGGGGGGGGTGTGGACGTTCCCTGAGGGCCTGGGCGCAGCCGCCCCCCTCAAGCCTCCCCAGGCCCCGCGCGTGCGGCCTCACTGTCTCGGTCCACGTCCTTGGCCATGGAAGCCAGCTCGCTCTTGGTGGGGTTGATGCCCAGCAGGCTCATGAGCCGCTCCAGCTCGGCCGTCTTCACCTGCCCGTTGCCCTCCTCGTCGAACATCTCAAAGACCCCCTTGTACTCCTTGATCTGCTCGGCGGTCAGGCGCTCGGTCTGCGGGGACATGGGGACACGCCGCCCGCTTCACAGGGGCCCTCTGCCCCCGGTCCAGGGAGGTCTGAGGCCCCAGGACACGTGGCACAGACGCCCTGCAGAGTGTGTGTTTAGAAAGGACGCCCCCACCCCCCGCCCCGGTCGGTGTGGCTCAGTGGGTAGAGCATCAGCCTGCGGACCAAAGGGTCCGGGTTCGATTCCGGCAGGTACCTGGGTTGCAGGCTCCTCCCCTGCCCTGGTCGGGCTCATGCGGGAGGCAACCAATGGATACGTTTCTCTCTGTCTTTCCCTCTCTCTTCCACTCTCCAGAACAATCAGTGGGAAATATCCTCAGGTGAGGATTAAAAAATAAAAAGGAGGCCCAGCCCAGAGCCAGCCCCCAGACCAGGGGAGCAAGTGGTGGGCGTCGAGATGGGCGCGGCTGCCAGGCAGCTCAGGGGAGGGCCCTGGGGTGGGGCCGATGCACAGGTCAGCCCTGAGGGAGCAGGGGCTGCAGGCAGGGCCACAGCAGGGGACCCAGGTGAGAGCAGGTGAAGGTCACCTGGACCCGCGTGGGGAGGAGCCTGATGGGAGGGGGTCCTGGGCAGCGGGGCGGGGGGCTTCCCGGCCGCGCACAGACATGGTTTATGGCAGAGTCTGTCCTGGCCCCGTCTGCCTGCCACCTACATGGCAGCTTCCTGGAGGGTGGTGCGGTCTCGGCCCCCACCCTGCCCTCTTCCAGCCTTGCTGGGCTTCCTCCTCCGTCCCGGGGAGACCCTCACAGCTCCAGGTCCCACCATCCCTGCGCCCGGGGGCTCTGTCCACCGTTGCCCCAGGCTCTGCCCCCAGCCCTGCTCCCCACCAGCAGCTCCGGGACTCTGCCGGGAGCAGCCTTACCATGTCTGCGGCCGGCCGAGAGGACACTGCGCAGGGTCACCAGAGCTGCTGTGGGCAGAGCACAGGGCAGAGGTGGCCGCGTTTATCTGGGCCTGGCTGCCTGGGGTCCCTGGGGCCCAGGTCCCATGATCCTTTTATGGGCCGGAGATCCTGCTGTCCTATTTCGGGACAGGCTGGGCCCTTCCCTGCCTGGCCCCTTCCTGGCTCTCCTTGGCCTGAGCATCCCCTCACCCTGGAGCCCCCCTCGGACCCTGGGCCCCAGCAAGAATGGACGCGTGGTAGGGCCACGGGCACAGGAGAGGCAGTTCTCTCTTCACCGTGTCCCCGCCTCCCCCTCCGTGGCAGGACCCTCACAGTGGCTGCTGTCACCTATTTGTGAGGGTTCCTGTTGGGTGTCCACCCCGGTCAGCACCCCCCTCATGCCCGTGAGGGCCCAGCACCCGGGCGGTGCCAGCGCCTGGCAGGCGCTCTAATCACGGGGAGGGCAGGAGGCCTCTCCCGCCCCCGGCGCGTGCAGCAGGGGCTGAGGCCCACCGTCCAGGGGGCAGCTTCACGCGGCCGGGGGTAAGGGGCCAGGACGACAGGACCGGGCCAGACCGGCCACCCGGAGGCCAGGCCAGGTCTCCTCCGGGCACTCAGCGGCTATTCTGGGGTTTCTCGGGGAAACCTGACCCCCTTCCACACAGAGCAGCAGAGCTGGCTCCTGAGGGAGCTGGGAGCCAGGCCGTTCCGTGACAAGATGCCACAGCTGCACACATACCTGCACACATGTGCTCAGCCCCGAAACACACGCACCCACCCCACCCGCCTCCCAACACCTCAGCCTGGGTCTCCCGTCCCCCTCAACTGAGCACCAGGCCTCTGGAGGGGGGTCCTCCCACCCCCTCCAGTCCCTGCCCCCAGGGATAGTCCCAGACAGCCCCCACTCAGTTCCCATCACTGTCCCCCCATCCCACCCCGTGTGTGGTCCCCCGAGTCTCACACACACACACACACACTCACACACCTGCCCCAGCCTGGGCCGCCTGATGAATCTGAGCAGGTGAGCCATGCCCTGTCTTCCCCTCCCCCACCCCCCACCCTCCCGGAGCTGGCTCCAGCCTCCAGCGTCCAGCCTCCAGCGTCCAGCGTCCCACCCAGGCCCAGGCCAACTGCTGAGGGCACAGGATTTGTGCTGACGGGACAGGATGGCTCCGGCGGGCGCCAGGTCACGGGCAGCCAGGCTGGAAGAGAGTCCTGCTCTGAGTCCCTTCGTCCCAATACCTCGCTCCCTTGAAAATCCCAAACCACAGGCATCGGAAGTGGAACGCCATTTCAGGGAAACTCTTCGCATCCAAAAGCCCGAACACAGTGTGTGGAGAAGACGGGAAGGGAGACAGCCCAGCGGGCGGGAGCCTCGGGCGGAGGGGAAAACGGGGGGTAACTTCACGTCACTCTACGAGGCTCCGGTGCTCAGGCATTTGCTCCAGCACTCCTCTAGCTCTCGCTGTGAGGTTTCTCCCGTATATTTATGGATTCGGTGGTGAAATTCACATAAAATATTACTCACGGAACATTAATTACACCCACAGTGCTTTTATTTTCTTTTTAGAGAGAAAGGAAGCGAGAGGGAGAAAGAGAAACGTCAAGGCAAGAGCATCACACTGATGGGTTGCCTCCTGCACGCCCCCTACTGGGGGTCACGCCTGCAACCTGGGCATGTGCCCCGACCTGGAATCGAACCAGGGACCTTTGGTGCACAGGACAAGGCCCAACCAACTGAGCCACACCAGCCAGGACAACATCTTTATTATTATTACTAGGGGCCTGGTGCACAAAATTCGTGCACATTAAAAGGGCATTAGAGGAAATATTTTAATATTGCTATTTGCCCTTTCTCTATAATAGAAGTGTCAGAGATGAAAATTAGTAAAATGTATATGAAAATCTTCCTCCTGTCAGAGTCTGGGGCGCGCCACGGGACCCAGAGTCAAGTCCCCGCCCACCCGCACGTACCTTGAAATTGTGCAAGACCCAGACCCGGCGGCCCCATCCCCATTGGGCAAGGTCCAGACCTGGCCGGCCCCACCCCCACCAAGCCCCGCTGGGCGGGGACAGGGCCTCAGGTCCCCCGGCCTGGTGCCGGGTGGAGGCCACAGCCTGAGGTCCTCCGTCAAGCCCCGTCTCTGCTGCGGGCATAGCCATCTTGTGACGGTGTGATGGAGTGAGGGTCAATTTGCATATCACCGCCTTATTATTTAAAAAATATATATATTTCTTTATTGATTTCAGAGAGGAAGGGAGAGGGGAGAGAGAGAAACATCAATGATGAGAGAGAATCACTGATGGGCTGCCTCCTGCACGCCCCCTACTGGGGATCAAGCCTGCAACCCTTGGCTGGAATCGAACCTGGGACCCTTCAGCCCGCAGGCCGACTCTCTATCCACTGAGCCAAGCCGGCTAGGGCTATTATTATTATTATTATTTTTAAATGTTTATTATGAAACATTTTATTTTTTTATATATATATATTTTATTGATTTTTTTACAGAGAGGAAGGGAGAGAGATAGTTAGAAACATCGATGAGAGAGAAACATGGATCAGCTGCCTCCTGCACATCTCCCACTGGGGATGTGCCCCAACCCAGGTACAATGCCCTTGACCGGAATCGAACCTGGGACCTTTCAGTCCGCAGGCCGATGCTCCATCCACTGAGCCACACCAGCTTCGTCATCTTATTATTAGTGATAAAAACACACCTCCTAGCCCTGGCCGGTGAGCTCAGTGGTTAGAGTGTCGGCCTGAGGACCACAGGGTCTCAGGTTCAATTTCCAGTCAAGGGCATGTGCCTGGGATGCAGGTTCGATCCCGGACCCTGGTAGGGGCCCATTTGGAAGGCAACCAATGGCTGTGTCTCACATGGATGTTTCTCTCTCTCACCCTCTCCTCCTTCCCTCCCACTCTCTGTAAAAATCAATAGAAAAATATCCTGGGGTGAGGATTAACAACAACCAAAAAACACACCATACAGAATTTACCCTCCTAACCCTCCCGGGCACAGCTCCGGACTCAGCACATTCACGTGCTGCGCAGCTGTCACCTCTGCAGGACTGTCCATCTTCCCAAACCGACACTGTCCTGCGCCAGCACTCACCCCGCCTCCCCCGCCTGCTCCCGGCTGCTCTCTGTCCCTGGACCTGCCGCCTCCAGGGCCCCCGGGGAGTGGAGTCACACAGCCTCTGTCCTTCTGGGCCTGGCTCATGTCGTGGAGCACCACGTCCCCGAGGTCCAGGCCCGTCGCGCGCGGGGTCAGAACTTCCTTCTTTTTTTAAGGCTGGGTAATAATATCATTGCATGTGGTATTAGTCAGGATTCTCCACAAAAGGCAGCCAATTCCATACAGATTTATTATTATAGGGACTTGGCTCACGTGGCTGTGGAGTCCAAGAGATTCCAGGACCTGCCGGCTGCGAGCAGGAGGCCCAGGAGAGCAGGCGGTGAAGGCCGAGAGCCAAGCGCGCACATGTCCGAGGCAGGAGAGGGACTCGCAGCTCAGCCCGCGCCTTTGTGTCCCATTCGGACCCCCAGAGCTGGCGATGCCCGCCCTCTTCCTGCCTCGTCTGCAGATGCAAAGGCTAATGTCTTCCCCAGGCGCCCTGGCCCACACCCGCCTCCTCCTCACTGGGTCCCACCTTTTGACACCTGGCCCCTGGCCCCGCCCCGGCCCATCGCTGGGTCCTGTGCCCTCTCTGTCGTTCCCTGTCATTCAGTCTCAGGTTTTGCCCCGCACTCGGCCCCGCCCCGTCGCCAGGCCCCGCCCCAAGTCCGCTAGACTCCGCCCCTCTGGGCCCCGCCCCTTTCCGTCAGTTGGTCCCGCCCCGTCACTCAACCCTAACCCGGAAGCGGCGAGCCGGGCGGCCATTCCGCGCGTGAGCACCAGGCGGCGCTCGTGAGCCGCGCGGAGCCGGCAGGGGCGGGGCCCGCAGCAGTTCCGGGTCTGCGGGTTTGAGGTCGCCGTCCCGGGACGGAGCTGGGCGGGGCCTCCGTCCGGAGTCCACCGCCCCGGCCGCGCCCGGTGCCCCGGTTCCAAGCCCGCCCCGCCCTCGGAGCCTCCCTTTGAGCTCCCACAACCGCTAGGACCGAAACCCAGGGGTGGCTGCCCCGCTCCTGTTCCGCAGAACGTGGGGCGGGCCGGGCCGCGCAGATGCGGAGCCTGCGCTGACCCCGACCGTCCGGGCCGCGGAGAAGCCCCTGGGCGACCCCGCTGTGCACCCCGGGGACCCCGTGCGGACCCCGTGCGAGCAGGCCCGGGGCAGGCTGCCTCCGAGGCGGCTGTGCCGCAGGGGCCGCGGCCTGCGAGCTGAGACCCCGCCGCCGGCCCAGGGGCCTGTGGGACCCGCCCCGTCCAGGCCCCTGCACCTCCCAGCGGACCCCCCGCAGCCCGGGCCCTGGCCCCTTGCTCCTCCGCGGGCCGGGGGCTGCCGTGTTCTGTGGCTCCTCCTTGTCTCCCTGGGTCTCGGGTGCCTGTGGCCACACAGGCCCTCTGTCCGAAAGCTAAGGTTCTCCATGCATCAGGAGCCTCAGACCCGCTGCAGCGAGTTCCCGGGGGCCGGGGCCGGGAGGGCTGTGCTGCACAAGCGGGAAACCGCGGCTCGAAAAGGGGAAGCCCTTGCCAAGGGGGTGCTGCCTGTCCGGCCTCTGCGCAGGGCCTGGCCTCGGGGGCAGCACCCTGGGCCCATGGAGGGCAGCGCCAGGCAGCAGGGGCGGGCACCATGGCCCGGCCTCAGCGTGACCCACAGCCCCTCACCCTCGGCGGGTCTTTCTCCCCCTGGTCTCCCTCAGAGGTCTTCCCCCCAGGGGACCCAGCGCAGGTGAGCCCTGGGGGTGAGCCAGGGAGAACAGCAGACACAGTCCCAGGCTGACGTCAGGGTGAGAGCTCCCGGGCCCTGGTGCCGGGCAGCACCCCTGGGCCCCAACCGCTGGTTTCCAAAACACCCAGGCCTGCAGGCCCCGCCACCCAGGAGGGACCAGGGGTGCTTCGAGCTCCACCCAGCACCCCGCCGCCTGG